AGTGGTAGAGCGCTCGCTTCATAAACGAGTGGTTCCGAGTTCGATCCCCACCACGTCCCTGGTAGTACCGCGCTCAACTCGTTTCTCCGCGCAGTGGCCTTGTTCATCAAGGTTCGTGTTTTGGAGTTATAGAGTTGTGAGAGGGTTATAGCCACAAAATAAGTAGCCTCCTCGTCTGTAGTGGCCTTCTCGGCCTTGAGGAGGTGAAGTAAAATAAAAAAAAATAAAAAATAAAAAATTACCGATCGGAAATATTTGTTTTGGAAATCGGAAATATAGGTTTTGTAAAATTTATAGCAGTTTCCAAAGAAAATTAAAAGATGACATATCTAATATATGCAATTGTAATCTCACTTATACTTTTGCCTATAAAAGTACTAATTTATATAACTTATCTAAAGAAAGCTATAACCTTTTATTAACCTATGCAATAACCTCAAAGTACAAAAAATCAGACTCAAAGATTAAAAATGATATAAATAAAAAAGGTAAGCGTATTTTGCAGAATCATGAAGTTTTTAATAAAATAAACATTAACTCATCATCCAATGCTTTATAACATTAAAAGATCACAAAGAAAATTTTATAAACAACCCAACAGTTCGGTTAATAAACCCTGCAAAAAATGAAATTGACAGAATTAGTAAAACCATAATTTCCAATATAAATTCTGAACTTGTGAGCATTCTCCATTCAAATAAGTGGAAAAAAATGCAAGACGTTATAACCTGGTTTATGTCCATAAATGATATGCATTGTTACATATTTCTTATTTTTGATATTGTCGATTTTTACCCATCAATAAATGAAAAACTTCTAAACAATGCTATTAGTTTTGCTGAGCAACATCTGGTTGTTAATCCTGAGAATAAGTCATTAATTCAACACGCAAGAAATTCACTACTTTTTAATAACGATCAAGTATGGATAAAAAAATCAGGGGGATTATTTGAGGTGCCAATGGGACCCTTTGACAGTGCTGAGGTATGCGAACTTGTAGGAATTTTTCTTTTGTTTAAGATTTCGCAATTTTCCAATAAAAAATGAATTTGGATTATACCTGGACGATGGTTTAGTAGTTTTTGAAAATAGAAGTGTACCTGAAAAAATTAAAAAACATATTGTCGATATATTTAAACAAAACGATCTTCTTATATCAACACAGTACAACATTAAAATTGTAAATTATTTAGACATCACTCTAAATCTCAATAACCACACTTTCCAACCGTATTCCAAACCCGGAAATTCTTTAAACTATATTCATGTTGATTTAAACAATCCATCCAGAATTTATTCTATCGTTCGTAGCATTCTATAAACTTACGACTATCTGCAAATTCATCAAGAAATTTTTAAAAAAATTCTACTGACATGTATAACGAAACATTGTTAAAATCAAATTTGTTCATAATTTTCTTATCATCCTAACTTAAATTCAACTCATGCTAAGCACCGTAAATGCAACATCATTTGGTTTAACCCTCCTTTCAGCAAAAGCGTTAGCACAAACATTGGAAAAAAATTTTTAACCCTTATCAATAAACACTTCCCTGTTAATCACAAGCTCCATAAGATTTTCAATAGAAACACAATAAAAGTAAGTTACAGCTGCATGCCAAATATGAAATCTATCTTAAATGCACACAATTGTCATGTTTTAAACAACAACAAAATTACCACTAAAAGCAATTGCAACTGCCTTGATAAAAAGACCTGCCCTTGAGCAAACAAATGCTTAACAAATAACATCATATACCAAGCTAATTTAACCTCCAATGATCCTGCCCAAACTTCTGTAAACAAATTTTACATCGGTATAAGTGAAATACCTTTCAAAATTAGATACGCTAATCCATTTAATATTATCAGGTATAAAAATGACACTGAGTTATCAAAGGAGTTTTGGAAAATTAAAATTTGGAAGCTAATTTGAATCCTATAGTTAAATGGAAAATAATTAAACAGCCCAATGCTTATAACCTTACAAAAAAATTTTGTAATTTATGCTTAAATGAGAAATATGAAATTCCATTCTCTAGAAATCCAAACTTATTAAATAAAAAGGAGTGAAATAATATCTAAGTGCAGGCATAAAAAGAAATTTCTTCTGGCTAATTTCGATACCAGTGATTAATCCAGTTTCTATGTTACTTTTTGTTTTGTTTTGACGTCAGAACCCATTCTATTGCTGTTTTTGTATTTTGTATTTTTAACAGTTTTTCTTGATTAAAAAATATATATGCTAACATTATGATGGAACTTAAAGTTTCATGCTATTTCCGCATGAAACTTTAAGTTCCATCATAAAGTTGTATTTTTTTCATTTAGTTAAATTTTTATATATAATTAATGATCTATTTTGTAAATAATTAATTTACATTATATTGATCACTCTAAAAAAATGTACAAGAGGCTTTGTATCTTTAATTGGTACAAAAAAACTTTCAACAATATATATATATATATATATATATATATATATATATATATATATATATATATATATATATATATATATATATATATACATATATATATATATATATATATATATATACAAATAGTATTGCCTACTAAGGTAAACAATCTGACGTCATACTGAAATAGCCGGCTGCTGGGGGCTTCAGTACATACATCGACTGACAAATAGCCTGACTCGCAGTGGAGCGCTGCTACATCGACTGAGGGTTTGGGATGGGGAAGCTATCATTTTATTTATCATTCTTCATTTTTTCTTCTTCTTTTTCCAAAAAATCGGTATAGTTTAAGGTAAGCAGAAAAAGTGAGCAAATGCTTATCAAAACACGCTTTAGTAAGTGTGTGTGTGTGTATATATATATATATATATATATATATATATATATATATATATATATATATATATATATATATATATATATAATATATATATACATATATATACATATATATACATATAGGGGAGCGTGGTCTAATACGGGCCCCTTAGCATAGAAGTTCATTTTTTCCCGATATAGATACCAGTATTGAATGCCTAATGCAAGAATAGCATAACTTAGATGACAATGTAATTAATGGGTCATAATCAGTTGGATTAATATAACAAACTAATTAATTAATCATACTTTTAAAACTTGTGATTAGGGGCCCATTTTATCCCATAGCTAAGCCTAAAACGGGCCCGGGCCCATTTTAACTGGCCAGGTTAAGATGGGCCCCGGGCCCGTTTTAACCTTGTGCTCTGTCAGTGACAAAATCAGATCAGAACATTATTCAAATGATAACTTGTTAATTTTGCGTCTACGCTATCAGGATACTATCATGCAATAGCAAGATCTGAACAATAAACAACTCATCATTTCAACACAAAAACTAACTATTAAGCTATTAATAACGATGAATACATTTCACTTCTGCAGCTTCGTGAATAGGTTTTACAGTTAGATCTATTCATGATGAACAGTTAGCAATAGAAAGTTCACGTTCAAACGAGTAGCATGTGGTGCTACTCACAACATTGAACACATAAAAAGTAATCGTCATCATATTAATCTGTAATAATAGTAGATTATACATTAATTTGAAACATTCAAAGACATACACCCTTGATTAATAGTACCATTAATTTACTTTAAAACAACAAGAAAATCAAAAGAAATTATTTTAATAACACACCAAATTTATTTAAATAAGCACACTTTTAAACGACTTTTTTATGTTGATATATCCCATAATGCAGTTTAAACTTAGTTATATTTTACATAACAGATTCAGACAAATTTATAATTTGAAGACCTCTCATTAAACAATATTACATATGAAGTTCATAGTATGAACTAGATAGGTTTGTAGTTGTTCAAAACGGTAACTAAGGCGTTGCTAAGGAACTATTTGATAATATACCTAGGTAAAAAGTTAAATATCACAAAATATACAAAACAAAATGTAGAATTTTTTTCAAAAAACTAAAAAATAATAATATTTTCTATCAGAAAAGATGAAAATAATTTTTCTTAAAAAAAATAATTTATTCACATTTATTTTGTGATGAACCACCTTAAGAAGTCAATGCCTGCATCAGCTGTCTAAAACGGGCCCTTTGGTCTAAAATGGGCCCATAGCGGGCCCGTTTTAGACACTGATAAGGCCATTACAAAATCCTCATGTTGTAACGTTCCGATAAAAAACACATGAAATCGCTCATTTCCTGAGTAATCGTAACAAAAAAACAAAAGCAATAGTGCCCTACCTTGTAACTCGATATGACGATATGACTTGTAGGTCTGTGATTTCGTAACGTCAAATAAAACAAGAGAAATTGATATAATTGATTCGACACGTTTTTACAAGACCCTGTCAATTATTAACGCAATGTAAACAATCATGCATATTCATTAAACTAAGCTGGTTCTATTTGCATTCAGAGTCACCGAAAAAATCCGCTTGGTGTCGTGCCAATCGTGGGGCCCGTTTTAACCGAGGGGCCCGTTATAGACCAATCTCCCCTATATACATATATATACATATATATATATATATATATATATATATATATATATATATATATATATATATATATATATATATATATATATATATATATATATATATAATATATATATATACATGTATATACATATATATATACATATATACATATATATATATATATATATATATATATATATATATATATATATATATACATGTATATATATATATATATATATATATAATATATATATATATATATATATATATATATATATATATATATATATATATATATATATATATATATATATATATATATATATATATTAGGGTGGTCCTTAAAACAACTTTTTTTTTAAATATCTGCTCTGACCACTTAAAGGTAAGCAATTTTTTGTCAACCTCAAACACTTTTAGATCAGCAGTTAGTTTAGCATTGCCTAATGCCGACCCTAATTCCGAAGGTTGCATTAGGAAGCCAAAGTTTGTTAATTTTTTTTTACTTATATAACAGTAAATCATACCCAAACAACATCTTCTTCTTGCAAGAATGAAATTCCAAACTGGTGCTTTGAGTTAAGTGATGCTTTAGTTAAGATATACATTGTGATGGCTCGTTTAATTAAATCCCAGTTATTTCTAATAAAAAAAATTTCAAATAAAAATGATTATTACTTGTTTTTGGGTTTCGTTTTCATTGACTATTATTATTATTGGTTCTATTAGCAACAAAATTTTGTACAATTTTATCTCTGCCATATTTATAGAGAGATCAAAAAGCAAGCTGGTAAAAAAATGTTTTGTCTTTGTTGATTATACAATATATTTTGTATATGTAGAAACTGATATTACCTAGGCACTATTTTTGCTAAGACAGAGTTTCTTGAAAAAGTAGCCATATTTGGTTGAGTAGATCAATAAAAATCATCAAGCCAAGTCATATTTTATATTGATAAAACTCAAAAATTAAGAAAAAACGCTGTCTATTTATGCAGAAAACTACACAACAAATCACATTAAAATATTTGCTTGGAAATGAATGAACTTTTACGAAAAGCAACTATTCTAGGTTTATTTTAAATAAAAATAATCACTATAGAAGGAGCAGGTAATGATCTAGAAAGGCAACCAATGATTAACCATGTAGATAAACATTGGTAAAAAATTTTGCTATGGAAGCAATATCTTACACCTTTATGAATATAATTTTTACAATTTAATGAAATATTAATCAAAACATTAAGTACTTTGGTGGTTAATTAATAATTTATTCAAACTAATACTAATATAAGTAATATCAAAATTTTATTAACAATATTAAACTAAAAAAAAGAAAATAGAATTTTACTTTATCAGTGACGTTTGCTGATAGCTTGATATTCTCTTTCGAAAGCTGCTGTCAATAACAAAAATCTAAAATTTAATATGTAGAAAAATATATTATAATTACAGTAAACAAATATTAATGATGAAACTTTGGATATCTACACTCAAAAAACAAACAAGTAACCAAATCTTAAAGAAGCATTAAAACTAATTTAAAAAGAGTGATTTTTTATGTAATAGTATAATACTGAAATTAAATATTCAGTTAGCTACCAGGCGACCGAACTTAACATTTGAAACGCTTAAAGCATATCATATATTTAAAACATAAAATTCTGAATTTTCTTATAGACAAAAATTATAACTTCTACAAAATTAGAAGTTTTGTCATTCAAAAATAGATATCACATTAAACTATAAGTCAAGTTGCATATAACTAAGTAGCAAAACTGTTTTAGCTATTAATGTGATTATTCTTATTTGATTTTTATGATTGTGGCTTATGAATTTTAACACCAACAAAACTCAGTTATTTACTGCAAACAGGTGTTGTAATACTGTCAACATTCTTATATTGATGAATGGCAACCCTCTCACTGAGTCGTCTTCTTTACCTCTTCATGGAAACCATATATACAATCGATTGCTAAGTTGGTATCTGTGATGATTGCTTCTCTTTATCATGCTCGCCATTTTCTTATTCCTAATTCCATTCTCTATCTTTACAAATTTGCCCCTTTATGAAATACTATTGTCATATTTGAGATGGTTCTTCTAATAATGCTAATCTCTATTCTAGACAAGGTCCAAAAATGCATTGTGAAAGTAGTTCGACCCTGTTAAACGTAAGTCTTTCTCCCATCATCATAAGGTTGAATCTTTTTCTCTTTTTTACAAATACTATCATGGTTGCTGCTCAAAGGAGCTGACCTCTCCAGTTCCATCAACCAAAACTCATTCTTCATTTTTCAAGTCTTCTATCAACTGTTTCCTCTTTAACTCTTTTTTTCTTCTTCTTCTAGTAACTCCCAACTTAATTTTGGTTGATTGCAGCCTTGTTAAGAGTGAATCAAAGAAAAGAAAAAAAAATCGAAATCAGTAAGAAACTTATGCTTTATTAAATAAATTTAAAATCATACAATTTTCTCTGCACAGTTTCCAAAAGGAGCTGTAACACTTGGTTGGTCTTCTAAAAAAAAATTAAAAGAAAAAACATACTTAACTGAAAACTTTTACAGTAACTATTTATTATAACACTTATAACTGTATTTACATAATTGATTTCAATATAATTACAATTTAATCTATCAGGTTCCACAACACGGGTTTCAAGTGGAGGGGCACAATTGTCAATTTTTAAAAAAAACCCTCTAAAATTTTCTTTTAAAAAAACAAACAAAGGTCTTTTAGAAAAAAGGGTGGCAGGTGCTCCCTGGTGTTGTCGGCTCTGTTAATTCATTACTAAATGAATGCAATATTATTTATTATTAATACAATACAATATTAATACAATTTAATACAAAATAAGTTTTTAAAAAAGTACAGTGAACTAAAAAAATTTTGACAATATAAGTAATTAAGAGTTGCCAATTAATTGATTAATTAAAAAGAAGATTCCCAGTAAGGACACAATTTCCAGTAGAGTCAAAAATCATTTGAGTACCAAATTGTGGTTTAAATTAATGTTATATTACTAGATTGTTTTTTTATTATCAGCAAAATTTCAATAATCAAAAATATATTTAGGAAAAATAAATTTTACCATCTTCACTCAAACTTTGCATGTCATTATTACTGTTTTTTATTTCTTGAGACTCTGTTGCAAAATAGTTACTCTCCATTTATCTATCAGTATTAACTAATCAAAAATTAAATTTATTCTCCACCATAAAATAGTTATATTTAAAGAACTAATAAAAAAAAACTCAATTAAAAGGTAATATTAATGCTTTTATTATTGTTATTATTATTATTATTGTTATTATTGTTATTATTATTAATATTATCATTGTATTTAAAGACTTTATTGATGCAACAACAATAAAAAAGTCTATATTTAATGTGACGCTACATAGCTACACTTTTTGACAAATTATTAAGTTTATTTTGATTTTTATAAATATAGTATAACAATTTACACAATTTCATGTTATGAAAAAGACTTCAAGTTTACATACTTTAAGAATTTAAAACTTTTCTAGCACACTTGTTAATTAAGAAAAAAAAACATGTTTATATTATATATACATGTGAATAGCCAAACTCATAGAAACATAAAATATGTATACATTATGCTAAATTTATATAACATATTTATGTCCAAAAAAATTTAACAAGCAATCTGTTATAAATAAGTTAAATTCTTAATTTCTAAATCTCTGGAGATAAACTAATAATTTTATTGAATTTATTTTCTATATCATTTCATATCAATAACCATTTATTAATTTAGTCTAAAGTTGTTTATTAGAATCTACTCTTAATGAATTTTGATAAAGACCAAAACTGAAGCATTCAGAAGGGTTTACCTAAAAAATTATGTAGAGATACCCAGCAATAACCTAATATAATAAACAAAAAGTTTATTTAAAACAATTAAATTTTTTCAGAAAATTCATTTTAAATTTTTTTTTTTTTTTCAAATTTGATTTTAAAGCAAATATAACAACTTTTTTTCTTATTGTCAAAAGACGTATAGAGTACCGCCCAATAAAATCATAAATGAGTCCTAATCTTATGAATAAAAAGTGTGAGATCCGAAGAATGGGTTTAAAAAAAAGGCTCAACTTTTTAAGACACAATTTTTAAATCAATTCAATTTTAAAAATTACTAAAAAATAAATTACCTACTACACAATCATTATCATGTATACAGACCTCATTGAAAACATATATGCAAACCTCATTAAAAAACGTAATGTCGTATTTGCTTTATTTTAAGAAAATCGTTATTAAGTTTAATATACAGTAACGATATGTATATCAAATATTTACAAAATATGTATATCATTGGTGTATATCATTTATACTTCATTGAAGTATGAGTGATATACACTAATGATATACATATTTTGAAGTCTTCAACGATATGTATATCAAATACTTACAAAAAATAATAAATTTATGTTATTTTTTGGAGAAAACAAAAGTGATAATTAAATAGTCATTATATATTGAATTTTTTTTTCTTAAATTGACATCATTTTAGTCTAAAATGATGTCAATTTAAGAAAAAAAAATTCAAGTTTATACGAGCATATTTTAAAGGTATTTACATCTACAATGTGGTATAGTAATGGCATATTTGCTTTGTAGGGACTTTGTAGGGTGTAAGTTTCCTAGAGACATGAAATAAATTAAAAATTTACCAACATTTTATTATTGTATTACCATTTGACTGAAAATCTAAATGTTTACAAATATCAACAATTTGTATATAAATTTAAGAATCATTATTTGATCCCTAGCGGAATATAAAATGTATTTTAAAGCAAACACAAAAAGTCATTTGTCGTTATTTTAAATACAATTGTCTATATTATCGCTTCAACAACTCCTAGGAAGATGATAAGTGATTGAATTTATATAAGAATAAAAATTTGATTAGTTTGTTCATTATTTGATAAGGTATTAACTGTTCTATAGTATAACTTGCTGAGATCTACTATTATATAAATGTAAAATTAATGGTTTTAACACATATTTTTAATGTAACTTTGGGAAAAGGGGGTACAAAAGCTGACATCATATATAAGGGGGAATCGGCCAAAAATTGACAGTTTGACAAAGGAGGGAGGGGGTCAAAAATTGAAAAAAAATCTCTGACATTGTTTATGGAGAACCCCTAATTTTAGAAATGTAGACCTCTGCATTTTCTTAGCAATGATTAAACACATGATTAAGCGCAAAATAGACGCGCCCGATGAGGGACTCGAACCCGCGACCCTCAGATTAAAAGTCTGATGCTCTACCGACTGAGCTAACCGGGCATGTCGAACAATAGAAAATATTTTTTATATATTTTTATACACTGTATAAATATATACAGCTATATAATATACAGCGTGCAATAAAATTGGGAATATATTCGTTTGTCCAATCCGCCCTTGGCTTGTTATTTATTATTGGAAAGAGCTTTATAACGGTATTTAAAAAGTGAAAAAGTTATTAGAATTGAACGATTCAACGAAAAGTTATAGCATTTTAAGTGTCGAATTTTTGATATATTTTGATATATTTTAATAAGTTGAAGGAACGGTGACCAAATTTAGAATTTTTCTTAACTTTAAATGACATAATATTGTCAATTCTTATCAAAATTCATAAGATCAAAAGAAAGGTCTTAAAGAGGAGAATAAGGATACATAAAAAATGTATGCGAGGCGTTAAAAACCCGTCTATAACACTCTTTAATATATTCAAAATCTAGATTTTTTTAAAGAAAATTTTAATTTTTTATTAAAAATTTGAACTTTATTTCATGTTTTTTATACTTTATATATACTCAAGGCCGGCGCGATAGGAGGGTGTAGGGGTTGTGACACCCTTCCTCCCCCCCCCCTCCCCTCTTTAATCAATAATTTTTTCGTTCATTTAGTTGGCAAGTTTGACCTTTTTTGACTATTCAGTCGGTAAATGTTGACCCTTTCAACAAGTTAGTCGATAAACTCAGAAAGTCGGCAGCTGTCGATAAGGCAGTCCGCAAAAAAACGAGAATCTTTTTTTTTATAATTTTTTTTTTTAGTCAGCAAAAGTTGTCTTGGCACCCACACCCACACACACCCACACACACACACACACACACACACACACACACACACACACACACACACACGTGACACCTACTCGCGCTGGCCTTATATATACTATTATATATTATTTTATATCATAATATATCTTTAAACATTAAAAATGTTCCATGTTTATTATATGTGCGGTCGTGGCACAGTGGTTAGAGCGCTTGCTCTATAAGCAGGAGAAACGAGCTTTAGACATATTTCGCGTCACGGTCAGAAAGGATGCGTGTTAAATGCACTTTAAACCGTGGTGCTCTGAGACAAGACCGTTAGGACTTCTTGGTCCGTCCGTCCTCCCCTAACTACCCTGGTATATAGCAGAATTCAAGTCAAAAATAGATACTTATATTTTGGGTGAGTTAGTATGGTGTCGGAGCGAGCTTTATTTTTCATAAAATTTGACAGGTAGTAAAAATAAAGATTTTTGTAGAAGTCTTAATATTTTAGAAAAAGTCTCAGCATTCCTTTAATACATACCTGATCCACAAACAACAATAAAGATTTTAACAACAATAAATTTATATAAACAAATTTTTACAAAAAATATTTCCGTGCAGAATTAAAGTTAAACTATTCTAGTACTCCAAAATAATCTATGTTGATACTTTATGCAAAATAATCTATGTTGATATTTTATTGACATTTTTATTTTAAATGTCATATTACGATATTTTAATTAAATCTTGTTAAAGGGGTTCTATGAAAAGATTGCGATGACGTTCTGTCATCCTCATTTTCTTTGAGTCCCTATCTGTTTTACTTATTTTGTTAAATTTTATATTATGTAGTAGAATCTGTAAAATTCTTATGTTATGTAAACAGAGAAAAAAAGAAATTCTTATGTTATGTAAAAAAAAAAAAAAAAAAAAAAAAAAAAAAAAAGGTACAAATTTCAACAAAAAAAAACACAGAAAATCATGTTTATACCATGCCACTCTTAAAAATACTGTAAAAAGCGTGGCACATAATTCGGATGCAGAAAACGGTTCCGTTAAGGTCGGATTACGCTTAAAATAATCATTGGCTATTTCTGGGTAATAGGCATTGCTGGGTAATAGGCATATTGGTTTTTCGTAACCAATGACGTATCAAAAAATGGAATAATTTGACTTTTTTCGTTTCTTTGGCAAGGTAGGTTTTGTAATTGATTGATTGAATTTGCTACTTTTTTAATTACCGAAAAAAATAAATGGAAGTCGCCATCATTTCTCATTTTTCTTTTTTTTTTTATTTTTTTAGGTGTCCCAAGAAATCTGTACGGTCTTATCACAGAGCACCGCGAAAGAGCATTTAATAGGAAGTTCACGCCTCACTAACCAATGTCGCAAAACTTACCCAGAGGTGGGGTTTGAACCACGGATTCTTTTTTTCTGAGGCAAGTGCGTTAACACTGAGCCACGGCTGCTCTTTTTTATTGTATCAATCACTACATATGCAGATTTCCTTCCACTGGTTGCCAACATCTTTGTAAATTGAAGTGATTTTGAAAAGTTATCAGCCATGGCGTAAAACTTATAAGAGAGATTGGTGTCGAAAAAGAAGTAAAAAGATTCCATCTGGCTTTGGTAACAATTTTGCTTTTGTTTCTTAACATCTTGCTTTTGTTTCTTGCTTTCATACATTCGTCCCAGAGTTGCAAGAGTGATTTAAAATTATTGATTACTTTCTTAATATATTCTGCCCAAACGGTCTATTTTATCGTGGAAGGTTTCTTCAGTTTTTTGAATGGTTCAGAGCATTGTTCTATCTTGATGTTCTCATCAATGTTTTCAAGCAAATGTTTTCGTTTCGGTGAAAACTTTAAAAATACCCATATTTCTCCAACTATAATTAAGATATCTCGAAAAATGTCACATATCGTAGACATCAATTAAACTAAGAGAATGGCCTTTTCCATTAATAAATCTGGAGCTTTTCCATTAATGTATGAATAAATGAAGCTTTTTCATTAATAAATCGCCCGACGAGAGTGACAAAATACTCAGCAACTTTACTAGACAATATCATTACAACAGACATCTTTAATAATGATATAAAAAAAAGGAATCCTAAAAACAGATATCTCGGATCACTTTCCTATTTTTCTGACTATACCCATTAACCAAGCAAATATAAAAAAACCTAACAAAATCTTAACTAGGGGAGAACCTTAATGAATGGGACAATTATTGAATGGGACAAAATCAAATTTGCATAGAAGCATCTACGGTTGGCTATCCAAACTCCTGTGGTAATAAGTGTTTGACACAACCATTCAACAGACCAAATCTTTATTTCTATTATGGTCTAAACGTAATGGCATTGGATGTTATTGTGTTTTGAAGAACAATAAGTAATTTTTAAAAACAATTTTCTGTGGCATTGGATGTTATTGTGTTTTGAAGAACAATAAGTAATTTTTAAAAACAATTTTCTGTGTCTGATTTTGCAGCGATTACTAAAGTTAAGGAAAATGAAACTCCAATTTTCAACACCCAAATGTCTCTACTTTTTAAATTTGTAAAGTATTTTTGTTTAGGTATTACTGTTTTTAACCTGTCCTGTCATTTGTGGATATAGTGGGAAGCCTATTGAATTGGACAAAGTATTGATTATTGAATGGGACTTGTCCAAACAGCCTGATATGAAAAAAGTAGAAAAATATATTTCGGCAACTTAGTTATGGTCACACATAATTTTATTTTTAATAAAATTTTTTGTTTTACTAAAAACAATTATTCGTGTTTTTAATTTAATTTTAATATACATATATTTTTTAATAAAACTATTTTAGGTTTGTCAATATATGCAGACATTCGGCCATATATATAGCTTTTTCGGGTTCCCTAATGGTAGAAACTACCCTTACTGCTTGACTGGCTTGAAAGTTACTTAGGACCTCTCTTCTTTTATTAATTTTTTAGATTTGTCCCATTCAATAATTTTATTTGTCCCATTCAATGAGTAGTTCTTAATGAATGGGACAAATGCCATGGTCTTATTAAACTCTCTTTTTACCAATACCCATATGCGGAATCAATTTTTTTGTTTTTGTTTATCATAGTACGAGAGTTAACAGTTATCAAACTATTTTCAAAGTGATTTTTAAACAAATTTATCAACCTCAAAAAATGCATTTTACGAAAACTGTCCCATTCATTAAGGTTCTCCCCTCAACGTATTTATTTCGATCAAAAATTGAATCGTTTAAAAACCAACTATCGTTACTTAATTGGAAACATTTAAATTTTAATAATAACGCTAATAATCTTTTTGAAAATTTCTTTAAAACATTTTTTTGGTTTACGATGCTAACTTTCCTAATGCTACTTATACATCAAAAACTAAAAACATAAATAATCCTTGGGTTACCAAAAGTTCCAAAAAATCATCAAAAACTAAGCAAAAGTTATATATAAAATATCTAAAAACCAAAACTCCTACAAGCGAAAAAAAAGTACAAAGAATATAAAAATTTATTTTAAAAAATCCGGAAAAGTTAAAAAAAAAACTACTATTCAAATTTGATTAATAAAACAAAAAATAACGTAAAACAAATACGGCAAATACTAAAAGAAATAATTGGGAAACAAAAAACATGCTCAAGTTTTTTGCCACACATGCTTAAAATTGGTTACAAAAATTTTATACAATTCACAAATTATAGCTCATGAGTTTAATAAATATTTTGTTGAAATTGGTCCAACCCTATCAGATAAAACTCCAATTACCAAAACTTCTTTTTATGATTTTTAGTACCTCTTGATAAAGGCATTTGCTCTGATAAACTATCGTCCGAATTATCTTTCGAAGAGTTTAAAAAAGCTTTTAAAACTTTAAAAAAAAATAAAGCAACTGGGCCTGATGAAATAAATGGAAATATAGTTATAGATTGCTATGAACAAATTAAAAATATTCTCTTTAAAATCTTCAAAGCATCCATCTATCAAAGAATTTTCCCTGAGCGCTTAAAAATTGCTAAAATTATTCCAATTTATAAAGAAGGCGACAGATCCAATATCAATAATTATCGCCCCATCTCTATTCTATCTGTATTCTCCAAAATCCTAGAAAGAATTATGTTTAACAGAGTTAATAATTATTTTAATTACAATAACCTACTATACAACAATCAGTTCGGTTTCAAAAAAGATAGTTCAACTGAGCATGCCATTATTTAATTTGACGCAACATCTCCAAATCCTTTGAAAAAGCTTTATATACATTAGGTATTTTTATAGTTTTATCAAAAGCATTTGATACGGTTAACCATATTATTTTAATATAAAAAATGAAATATTAGGGTTTAAACAATAATACTTTAGCATGGTTTAAAAGCTATTTAGCAAATCGTAAGCAAGTAGTCTATAGTAATAATGACGTTCAAAGTGGATCCTTAAATATAAAGTGTGGTGTTCCACAAGGTTCTATTCTTGTACCGCTGCTATTTCTTATCTATGTCAATGATCTAAACAAAGCCTCTAACCTGATGAGTATTTTTTATGAAGATGACACTAACTTATTTTAATCCCACACTGATGTTTACAAACTTTTCTCAAAAACTAATAATGAACTTATAAACATTTCTAAATGATTTAAATGTAATAAATTAACGTTAAATACTAACAAGACTAAATGGATTCTTTTTCATTCCTTCTCAAAAAAACATTCTTTACCAGATATTATGCCTCAAATTTATATTTAATAAAAAGAGATTCTGTTATAAGATTCCAAGGTGTTTATCTTGATGAGAATATTACTTGGAAAAACCATATTAATCATATAACCACCAAGGTATCTAAAAATATTGGCATTTTTTATAAAGCCCAATCTTACTTAAGCAAAAAAAGCCTTACGCAGCTCTATTACTCATTCATACACAGCTAAATAAACTACGCAAATATTGCATGGGGTAGTACTGAAAAAAAGTAAACTACAACGTCTATATCGCCAACAGAAACATGTGATTCACGTGATTAATTATGTGGATCGCTCTACACATTCAAAACCTTTCTTTGATAAAATGAAAATACCTAATGTCTACAAACTTAACGTTTTCAATGTTTTATGTTTTACTTATATGAGGAAAAACAATTTATCCCTACCTGTTTTTAACGACCTTTTTACATTAAAACTTACTAATAAGTGCTCACTAAAAAATAAGGATTTGCTTAATGAACCATTTTGTAGAACAAAATTTAATAAATTTTGAATTAATTATTGAGCACCTTACCTTAGGAATAAAATAGTTCTGCCTAATTTTGATCCTTTTATCCGTTTTTCTGTTTTTAAATATGAGTCAAAAAAATTTATTCTTGCTATGGATGACATTTTAAGTTACTATTAACTTGAAGTATAAACTTGATTTATGAGATTTATAGTAATATTTATATTAATAGATTTATTTTCTTTAATTTATAACAGATCTATAAAATTTATTATTATGGGTTTTTATAACAGATTTGTAAGAATTATCATTACAGATACGTGATTATTATTATGAATTTATTATTATATATCTATTATTACGGCCGTTTTTTGGATTTATATTTTTAGTATTTATAGTATGATAAAATTGTAAAGGTTATGATGATAAGATCAGTTGATCTTCTTTCAGAAGCCTTGTTTTCTTTGTTCTTGTAAAATATAGTATTTATTTTACCGCAAATGTAAACAGAAAAAATTAAAAAAAAAATAAAAAAAAAAGAGAATGGCCTTGACAGTGTATGGCAATAGCTTTTGGCTGTTCTGCAAGAACTTGAGCTGATACTCCAGATTTCTTCCCTATCATATTAGATTATTATATTAAATTATATTAACTTCGTTAATATAATTTAATTATAATGAGAATATCTTTAAAAACAAATACAATAGTATCGCTTTTAATATTTTTCAACTGGTAAAATCCGATAAAAATTTTAAAAATGGTTCAAATCTTTATCTACGGTTGGAAATCAAAACAATAACTTTATTGCTTACGTCATCACTATACTTTATTGCTTACGTCAGTACCTTCATTGATAATAATGGAAAAAAAATTGCGTTCTCGGATGGTTTTAAACTTTTATAGTAATGTTAGAGTAGCTAATATATCAAAAATATAATTCTTTCATCAAGATGATCTACAATGTTTTTCTTATTTATATTTAGCAGGCGCAATAGTTAGGTAAAATTATCATTCCCAACATGACCTTGCAGAGCTATTACTTGTCGTCCAAGGTAACGTAGAAATCGAATGACTTCCAAAAGATATGTGTTCCAAAAGTATTCCAAAAGATATGTATTCCAAAAGACAAAGTGCTGGCGCCTTTGTCACAGGCCTGTTCAACCAGTAGTTCAAGATTTTCTAGAGCCTTCCGTATATTATTTTAACTTCCTCCTTTTTTCTTTTTTTTTTTGATTTATCCATGTTTGTTTTTCTTTTATTTCTGAAACCGTTTTACCATAATCATCTTTTTCTTTTATGACATCTAACTAGTCAAGTATGGATTCTACTTGCAGCTTGGTTATTTTCTTGAAAACAGTATGTTCTTCCTTAGCATCAGTTATTAAATTACTAATACCAAACCCTCCTTCTGATAGATTCAGCGCCAATAACTCTCTGTTCTGCTTGATTATGGAACACTCAGTACCAAAAAACACAGGAAAAATTTTCCTGACAATAATTTATCAACTGGTGTTACAAATTATTCGAAGACTTCAATCGTGGGTAAGAAGTATGTGAATTTAGATATATATTCTTTAATAAAAGCTGCATGAGCAGCTTGTGGTTGCGTATTAGCAATTTCCCAGAGATTGTAAAGTTCATTTAACTATTTGTTCACTAAATCCTCGCAAAAAGCTTTTTTGTATGCTTCCAAACCAAGAGCGGCTTCTTAATGCATTATTCCTTGGGTAGTTACATTTATAGAGTTTCAAGAAAATCAAGCTTTTTCAGCTTGATTTTCAGATTTTTCAATTAACCAGCATTTTGAAGGATTTACATAATACCGATGCAAAGCTCTAATTTCCTCTAGAGGAAATTGGATTGATTCTAGATGGACATTTATACCACTTTTTTAAGGACTGCAGTTTTCCTGCAGCGGAGGCGTCGTTGGCTAACCATATCTGTTTTACTTTAAACTCTTATAGTTTCAATGCACTTATAATGGCCTCAGTTCTAAGAGAGTACTGTGAAATAGCGATGGGGTCGTTTTGTGTGCTTCCTTCTTTCAAAAAAATAGTTTTTCCACTGTAAATGAATTGTTTTACCGGTTTACGGTAAGTATTGACTAAATACACGGACAAGTTATCTGTATATTATGTAGAGTAACGGAGCGGTTTAGACAGTTAAACGCGTTCTCGGCATCAATCAGCAAAACCCATTCGGTATCTTCTTGATGTTTTAGTTGTCTTTTTAATCAAATGTTGATATAATTCGAAGCAAAAAGAGAAGCTTAAACTAACATGCTTTTAAATTGTGGTTCTTTTTAAATACTGAGTTTTAGCAAATCTTTTGTACAACAATTACAATTACTAATGGTTAAAACTATAAGGCATATCCTTTGACTAATTCTTTTTTTAATATTTCAATAAAAATAATTTCAGTGAATTTTTGTTGTTTTTAGTCCAGTGAAACTCTTTTTTTTTTTAACTATCGATTACAAGCATACTTCCGAGACGATTTAAACTTTCTTCTGTTTTATACTTCCATTATTTAAGTAAGTCTACATTTTTTTACTTTAAATTGTTAAAAAATAGTTTAAACGGAAAAAGCATTAAAGTATCATTATTTGAATCCTCTCATAAACAATAGATGAGTTTTTATTATTTAAGTCTTTAAACGATGTAAAACTTTCAAAAAGCATTAAAATTAATGAAACTTCAAGATATACAGGACTTTTTTTGTGCTTTCTTTGATTTTGAATTATGTCCTTTAATTTATTACTAATCTACATCTAAAAATTTTGCTTGCCAAGATTTGATAAGCATTCAAAATATCAAAAGTATGCGAGCTTTGTCAACCTAGTGTCACTTTGGTCGAATCATGCCCAAAAATATATATATATATACAGTTTTTTTTTATGGAGGGATTCAGGTCCCTCCATATAAAAAATTTAAATGGATGTTTATTTATCATTTGTTATGCTTTTGACATATTGTTTTTATTAGTAATTTTTTATTTTTTTTTAATAAATTCATCGACATTTTTATTTATTTTTTTTATTTTGTAACTTTTTATTTTACTTTTTCAAAAGGAAAGTTTTAACGTTTAAGTATTATTGCAAGTTATATGTTGTACAAATGTATTTTAAATATATTTAATGATTTATTACTATTTTTTCTACAAATTTGTCATTTTAATTAAATAAATAACTAAAAATTGTTTGCTATTTTTAAGAATGGATCAGTTAAATAATTTTTTTTTGATATTTTCATAGTCTTAAACTTTATTTATTTATTTATTTTTATTTTTCTTTTTTCTTTTTATTTATTCCCTTGTAACTTTTTGTTTTATCTTTTCAAAAAGAAAGTCTTATTTTATGTACAATTATATAAAACTTACGTAATTATTTATCTTAAGACTAACTTTGTCTTCTTCTTGACCCGGTTATCTGTATTTATATTGAAATAGTAGTTGTATTTATATACGGCAAAAACATAAAAGCAAAAAAAAAAAAAAATTAAAAATAATAATAATAATAATAATGCCATAAACAATAGCTTATAAATTTATGTTGATCTTAAAATTGCTTTTCTTATTTAGGATAGGTGAAGATGTTACCAATCAAGTAACGGCTTCTTGGAGGGATACGACTTCGCTGGTAATATTGTCTCGTCAAAAATCGCATTAAAGTTCCGTATGTTTTATAAGGCAACAAAAAAAACTTACTGGGCTTGCTGCAACAAACATGTGTTTAGAAAAACTTCCGGATTCGAGTGCCATTCCTTTACCGCGTTCAAAAAAAAACTGATCAAGTTTAGGGATGACCTCTAAGCTATTCAACTAGTGGGTCAGAGAAAACGATAGAAAGTAGCATTAGTTACTGATAATTGCACCACCCATCCGAATATTGAGAACCAGTTATACTCTAATTTCCTCCCTCAAACACAACTTCATGATTGCATTACCAAACTAAGCTAACTAACAAGATCATAAATGGAATATACAATAACGGAAGACAAATGCTTTTAATCTTCATACTTGATGCTAAGAAAACGTTTGTTCATTCATAGAATGAAGTTTCAGAAACCACAGATGTTAATTACTTTTGCAAAATAAGATTTAACGAAGGAGTAGGAGTACCAGTCATGCATTAAAAAATTCAATTGATCAGTTACACTTGCTCACGTTGACGTGACGTAATTGATGTAAGTGTCGTGAGGTTCTTGTTCCGGATGATTTTACTTACGAAAACATGTTAACAATTGATTATAACATTTTGGTTTTAAAAAGAGTGACGACAGATGAATATATTGTTCTAGAAATTATTAAAGTAGTTAACGGAGAAATTTAAGATAAATAAAGAAACGCATCGACTAATGAAAAATTGATAAAGCCAATGACTGAAGATGTTCGTAAAGCAACTGATACCATTATTAATTTTTTGATGTTTACTCAGAGTAGTGAAATGTGAATGGTAGCTTTAAATGCTTCAAAACTGTTTGAAAAAGTCACTGTAGTGACTGCGAATTACTGAAACAAACACTAATTTCGGACTTTTTTTATATAACTATATATTATTTGTATAATTATAGTATATATTATATATACAAAAGTATATATTTCACATTAGATTATTTAGTTTTATATATATGTACACTATATTTGTATATTGAAATATGTCTTTTAATCTCGATAAGTCTTACATTTTCAAAAAGTCTGACATAACGAGAGATTTCCTTTTTCTTCTCCCTCCCCCAGTATTGGGGGATGGGGGGGGGGGTTAGAAAAAGGAAATCTCCAGTATTGTCCAACATTTTTGCGTACCGAAGTAATACTCAAGCGCTAAATACAACAGTCCAGGTTTTACCATATCCTTTGGCGCTCTAACCAATTGAACTATCCAGGCACTAGCTATATCATTTTTGAATATAGAAAATAAATAACAACTTTTGACATAAAATATTTAACTATATCCTAAAAATATAAAATATAAAAAAAAAAAAAATTGTTTGGTCAACGATTGCTGCAGTAACCGCAAAAAAAAAAAAAAAAAAAAAACAGAAAATAAGATTTGCACTTAATTTACTTCAGCATTTCAAAATTCTGCTCTACTTAAAACAAAGTTCTAATTAAAATGAAAATATGTTGAAAATTTCTGATAAAACGCTCAAGCGGTTCTTTTAGAATTTTGGCAGGCTTATTGAAAAACCTCAAACTGAGAAAACGCATAAAAAATGAAAATGAATGATTAAAAGTCTACTTTACATTAAAATTATACGTTACATTATAGATTAGACAATATTCAAAATTAAAAACCCCTTGCTTCATATGTTTTACTTAATTTTTTAGAGGTTTTTTAATTTTTCTTCAGTTTCTTAGCCCTTAACTTTTGATGATACAATTTGTTATGGAAGTTTAATTTATAGACCAACTATTTAATGCTTGTTTTATTCATGTCTTTACAGCCGTTTACTGTGTAACACCTTGGAGCTATGTTCAGTTTTACATAAATTAAGATTTAAGACTTCACTCCGATGTTATTATTGGCTACAGCATTGTAGACACCAATCTTCAGCACAGTTAGCAAGACGTATTTAGTTTTCGGAGTGCAACCCCTAATTTTTCCATTGAAAGACTTATTTGCATTTTGTGTTTTACTGTACAGACATTTTCGAAGCTTTTCATCTCTTTTGAGATACTCAAACACTGATTTTGTATACAACCTCTATGGGATATCCAGGTAATGGCTTGTAAGTGTTAGTGCTGATTGCTTAATCACTGTTAAATTTAAACCAACTACTTGCACCTGTTATGTAAAGTCTAGTTTCAACACGCTTCTGATAGTGTTCAACACATTCTAATTTGTTTACTTTATTATTAGGATAAACATCCTTGACACAATTGTAACCTTTGCGAACTCCATCACCTAAAAAGGTTATGTACTGCAATTTATGTTTTTTAATTAATTGCTGGAAAATATAACTGGCTCCTTCACTTTCCATTCCACCTGCAGAATCAACAAAACTCATTTTACTTTTTTGATGCTCCTTGAATCAAAAACTCATTTTAGTTTTTGATTCAAGGAGCATCCCCTGCATACCTGATTCATCACCTAAACATCTAAAACAATCCCACTGTCCATTAAAAGTGCTGCAAATACACCGTTCAATGAGGAAAACCCCATATGCTGCCACGTGCCATCACATGATACACCAATATCCAGAATTTCATTATCGTCTTCACACTGTATTCTTAAATCAGATACAGCATCAGCCATTGTTTCTTGTGCAGCATCCTCTGTAATATTAGTAACTTTTAAAACAAGTTTATCATAGTTTTCTAGTTTTATTGGCATATTCATGAGGGTTGTAAACCTTTCAATTCTGGAATGTCCTAATCCAAGGGTCCTCATTGACTATACTGTTCAAATGTTTATATCATAGTTTCCTATTTTCTTAATTAATTCTGAAGTATTTTGAACAAATAATAGAAAGTTCACAAGCAAATCCTTGCTTTTTGCTTTTATTTTCAATTAGTGATAAAGTTGTTTGTTTTCAAATAATGGTAAAGTTGTTTGGATAGGCAGTTGAACATCTGAGAGCGTATTATCGATAATCAAGAAAACACGGTTATAGAAAAAAAAAATGACGAAATGGTTGATACGATTCTTAAAAACGTTAAATCGCTAAAAACGTCAAAAACCATACAAAAAAATCATAAATTTTGTGATTGAAAAGTTGCATAAGTTTTCAACTAATAATAAGATAACGATAAGTTTGGTATTTCTTAAACATTGGTATTTAGCTTTAACTTATGGTATTTGTTTTGTTTTCATTTTACATTAAAATAATTTGAAATGCCTAATATAAATAAAAGTAGATAAAGCTAAAATTGATTTTCTTATTAATTCAAAAAAAAAAAAACACTAAATACTTACAAAAATATTTAGCTTGTAAAATGACATTAACTTTTGAAACAAATTATCTCTAAAAATAAAAATCTCAAAAAAATCTTTTTGGTACTATTGTTAAGCTGTGGTTCAATTTTTTTTATTTTTGATTCTACTTTTTGCGATAAGCAAATAAAAAGTTATTTTATTCTAAGTCATCAATTGAACGAAGGAGGAAGATACACAAAAACGTCAGAATTTTTTTTCTTTAGCCGTGTTTTATTGATTATCGAGATTACGCTCTCGGATGTTCAAGCGCCTATTTTAGTAGATTTGATATTTACACTTGAAGAAAGAAAATTCACAATATTTACACTCGCACTGCTACGTAACGCTTTTTCCTTAAAAATTTTCTTCGTTTTGCCTGCTTATTTAGTACTTACTATATATTGTTTGTCGTATCATATGAGTTAAATTAATTTTGATCTTTTAGGAATTTAATAACTTCAGATTTAGTTTGAATTTAATTAACTAACAGAGCTGGGAATTCTTTAAACGAAGATCACTAAATTTAAACTATTAGTACCAAATATCGAATATTCGGTTTTCGGTTAAGTAATAAACTCGTTAAACTTCGATCCTGAAGTTAAACAAAGTTATTATTTGCTATTCATATTTTAAAAACATTATTTGCCGGTGCTTAATAAAGAGCAAATTAAAAATGTACCAGAAACAAACAAGATTTGTCAGACCTAGACATCAAAGCAAAAAAAAGACTCCAAAAAACAAAAAGGCTCTTGTAGGGTTTGGTTTTACGGTATGCTCATTAAGGTTTAACCCTTAAAGGTCAAGCCAAAAGATATCGAGGAATGCACCGTTTCTGAGCACTCCGTTCTTTTTTTAGCTTTGTTGTTTACATCTAATATTATATACACCCCTCCCCCCCATAATAATGGATGTATTAACATAAATCTTTTTTCGAGCTTTGTCTTCTTTTTTCGAGCTTTGTCTTCGAGTCGATAAGACGTGTTTTTGTTTTAGCGTAAGTTTTCAGGAATTTTTATTTTTCTCCGTATTCTTTATCTTTCTTTTCCACTTATTATTTTTTTTTCTAACCTTTACTTCTTTCTTTTCTTATTGCTTTATCTTATTAACTTATTAATTACTTTTCTACTTAAATATTATAATAAAATATTAAAATATTATAATAATATATTAACTATACTCGTGTCTAAAATAAATCTTTGTTGTACTTCGCATTACTATAATTTATATTATTCTTAATATACCTATACTTATTTCCGATTATACATATCTTTATTTATATATTATTATTATTATATAAATAGTTATAACCAAGATTTTATTTACGCTTCAATTCGCTACTATTTTTACAGAACTTTATAGTTTTTTTTTTTTTTTTTTTTTTCCCTCTTCGCTAAAGTTATAAGTTGCGTTTGCACCTGTTTTTTATTTTACTGTATGTTTGTTTTCTGTATATTTTTCTAACCATCTAGCTTTATTTTTGCGTATAATTTTCTAACCATCTAGCTTTATTTTTGCGCTCCGATAAAAACTAATTACCAATTTTAGCTAATATATTTGTATAAACTATATGTAAAATACATATCAAATAAATATAATTATACTAATAATATTAATAAATAAATATATATTCGTATATATAATATATATATATATATATATCAGTATTTGATATACACGATACGATACATACACGACAATACTTTTTAACTAAACTACACTTGAAAGTAAAATCATGACAAATTTAACGGCTCAGCAAGAAAAACAGATAAAAAAGATGTTAGATGGCGTAATAAAAATTTTCGAGGATGAAATAAAAAACTTAAAATCCGAGGTTGCGGAATGTGTTAAAGAAAACAAGCAACTAAAAAGTATAATTGCAGAAATGGAAAAATCAAAAGAAGTCAATTCTGATACAAGTGGAACTTCGTGGTCAAAAGTTGTATCAGGGGCTGCCAAAAAAACAAATGACCAACTATCTCTTCTTTTTGAAACCACAAAGGAACGTAAAGACCAAGAACGGAGAGAAACAAACGTTATCATCTATGGACTAGAAGCAACCCAATGTTCTTCTGAGACGGAAAAACTAGAAAATGATAAATCGCAAGTAAATAATTTACTTAGTGCTATCGAATGCGATAGAACAAAAGTGAAATCTATTCGCCGTCTTAAATCTAAAGGAACTATCGATCCTTTGCTTATCGAGCTTGAAGACGTTAATAACAAAAATATGGTTCTTAAAGCATCAATTAAATTAAGAAAAATCAAAAAATATGAAAATGTGTATATAAATCGCGATCTAACAGCAAGTCAAAGATTCATTCTAAAAAATAAATTAATAGAACGAAACGAAAAAAATGCGTTAAGAAGTGAACAAGAAAAAATTAAATTTCATTACGGTATTAGAAATGACAATCTCACTCGAATTTTTCACAAATAGCCACTAGCAACCACTAATTTAACAACGTCATCAAAAGTATCTCCCCCAAAAAAGACAAATATTGACTATACTCGAATAAAATCTCAATTTATTCAAGATCCACTTCTCAACATAAACAAACTGAACACTTCTTACTTTGATTTGGATAAAGCCGCTATTTTCCTTAAAAGATGTGAATTATATTTTTCTAATCAATTCTCAGTATTTCATTTAAATATTCGTAGTATTACTAAAAACTTCGACGAACTAAAAATCCTACTAGATAATCTTAACTTTAACTTTAGCTTAATTTGTTTAACGGAAAGCTGGATTTTAGATACAACATTTAATCAAAATTCTAAATTTATATTGCCCAACTACAAAGCCATTAGTTTTGAACGTAAGTCTTCAAAAACAGGCGGTGGTATATGTGTCTATGTGCTTGATGAATTTACTTATCAAATTAGATATGACCTGTCGTTCTCTGAGCCGGATTTTGAATCTTTCACTTTAGAAATCTACAATAAGTCAACTAAAAATATTATTGTGACAACTACATACCGACCACCAAACGGATGTTTAAATAACTTTCAAAATCACTTAAGTGACTATTTTGAAACAGCATGCAAAAAAAATAAAGACCACTCATTTTTATTTCTTGGAGATTATAACGTCGACTATTTAAAATATGGTGAAAATAATAAAGTACAACAATTTTACGATAGCTTTAATGAGTTTGGAATGATGCCTATAATAAATAAATCAACAAGAATAACACAACACTCTTGTTCTGCAATCGACAATATTTTCACAAATACACTCTTCCATTCCACATTTAAATCAGGCATCATCAGAAGTGACATAACCGACCATTTTCCAGTCTTTGCAATTTTCAAAAAACCAAAAGATTTACAAAAAAAGGACTGGTACTTCAAAAAAAGAATCTTTACAACCCGAGCAAAAAATATGTTTAAACTAGAGCTATCAACTGTAAATTGGAACTTTGTTTTTCTTGAAACATGTGCTAATAACAGCTACAACCTTTTCTTAGATAAATTTCTCAATTTGTACGATAAGCATTTTCCTAATAAAATAATCCGTATTAAAACTAAAGGTCTTCTTAATCCTTGGTTCACTAAAAGCCTCTTAAAGTCTTCGAAGCGAAAACAAAAGCTATATATACGCTTTATTAATTCAAAGAAAGAACGTGATAAGCATAATTACTTAGAGCACAAACGTCTATATGAAAGAACTAAAAAAATTGCCAGAACTACATACTTCAAAAACAAGCTGTTAGAACTAAAAGGTAACTGCAAAAAAACGTGGGATGCTATTAAAGAGATTCTTGGAAAACAAAAAATACACAACAAAGCCTTACCAAGCGTGATTACTGTAGACGGCACACAGATCTCTGATGTAAAATCGGTGGCAATAAAATTTAATGAGTTTTTCGTAAATATTGGTCCAAACTTAGCCAGCAAAATTAAACACACTCCTGCAGATTTCTTGAGCTATCTATCAAAGTCGGATAAAAGCTTAGCATTTAAAAAACTCACTAGTGAAGAACTTGATGATTCAATTAAAAAATTAAATAAAAATAAAGCAACAGGCTATGATGCTATTTCAGCAAGCATAATCAAAGACTGCTACGAACTTATTAAAGATGTTTTATTAGATATCTTTAACAAATCGCTTAAAACAGGTGTTTTTCCAGATAAAATGAAAGTTGCAATTATTACACCCATTTTTAAATCAGGAGATGAAAGTCTGGTTATAAATTATCGACCTATATCGGTATTACCTGTATTTTCAAAAATCCTCGAACGTATCATGTATAATAGGATATTTGCATTTTTGTATGATAACAATCTTCTTTATTGGAACCAATATGGTTTTCGATCAAATTACTCAACGGAACATGCACTTATGCAACTTGTTGAAGTTATCAGTGAAGCATCTTCTCATAACAAGTTCACCTTAGGTATATTCCTAGACTTGTCAAAAGCATTTGACACCGTTAATCATCAGATTTTATTAGAAAAACTAAAATATTATGGAATAAGCCACGAATACCATAAATGGTTTACCAGTTACTTAACTGATCGAAAGCAGTTTATTTCTCTTAATGATGGCTTTCAGACAAACAAACTTAAAATATTATGTGGGGTTCCACAAGGCTCCATCTTAGGTCCGTTGCTATTCTTAATCTATGTCAACGATCTATATAAAGCATCAAATACTATGTCTACTATTATGTTTGCAGACGACACCACTTTATTCTATTCTCACAGTAATATTATCTCTCTATTTCAAGTAGCAAATAATGAACTAGAACAAATATCAAACTGGCTTTTCGCTAACAGCTTATCTTTAAACACTGATAAAACTAAGTTTTCCTTATTCCATTCTAAACGAAAGTTTCAATCTATTCCAAAATCCTTACCAATGCTATATATAAATAACATCAATATTGAGCGCTCATTCACAAATAAATTACTTGGTATTTTAATAGACGAAAACTTATCCTGGAGAGCTCATATAAATCATATTAGCAATAAAATCTCAAGAAGTATTGGCATCTTATATAAAACCAGACGAATCTTAGACAAATCTACACTAACTCAACTATATTTTGCATTCATAAATAGTTATTTATCTTATGGCAATATTGTTTGGGGTAGTACAAATAAATCTAAACTCGACTGTCTCCTTAAACAACAGAATCATGCAGCACGCATTATTCATTTTCAAAATCGCTTCACAAATGCTAAACCTCTTTTAAAAAGCATGAGGGCACTTGATATTTATGAGTTAAATATTTTCAAAATTACACAATTTATGTTTCAACATCAGTCAAAAAAAACGCCGAAGGTTTTCGAAAATATTTTCCATAAAACATTAAACCGATACAACACGCGATCTACCGGAAGATTTAAAAAACCTTTCCGTTCATCAAAACTTACGAGCTTTGCCATTTCCTATCGTGGCCCAATGCTATGGAACCATTTTACAAGTCTGTGTGGTAAACTTAAAGAAGCCAATACCTCTCAAAAATTTAAAAAGAACATAATCGAACTTATTGCCAATCACGATTCTTTACATGATTTTTTCTAACAATACACGATTATTTCCAATTTTTATTATCAAAGGTTACTGATGAAAAGACTTTATCTTCTTCAGGTTCTCCGGTCTTGTAACTATTATAAATAATGAAATGCACTTGTATTTAATATTACTAAATATTTTACGGAAATTATCTTTAATTGTAAATAGTTGCTTGACAAAAATTGAAAAAAAAAAAAAAAAAAAAAAAAAAAAAAAAAAAAAAAAACATAAATAATTACACCGTTTATCGTTAATAGAAGTAACAGGTCGTAAAACAAACTTCATTCTTTTTTTAAGTAACTTAAAACAAAAAGTTATTCGGTTGCTTTTGTGTATGTTTTACACCAAGTTACAATAAACCTACAACATAAATGTCACTGTTCAGTGACTTTTATTGCAGAAAAAGGTTTGACTTTTTCCGTTAGAATTAGACGTGCGATCAAATACCAGACGTTAAATTTTAACGTTTCAAAATGTTTACTTTGTCTGCTATTAGTCGGAATTGATCGCACGTCGAATTTTAATGGAAAAAATCAAACCTTTTCCTATTTCAGTTATTATTTATTGAAATCGTATTTACTGCTATTTTTCGTTTAACTCAGGTTAAACCGAATGATTCAGTAAACAAATTTAGTAAATAAAATTGAATGATTAAATCCATTTATAAAATATTGTAAACACTGAGTTATCGTTTTTGTAACTGTCTTATTGGTGAAAGCGTTTGTTGCTACTTGTATTTTAAAAATATACACAAGAACAACAAATGAGCAAATATCGAGCGGTCACTGTATTAAACTTTGTAAGCTGTTAAAGATATTTTATGCTTAAATAAGTGTTGTTTACGTGTACATACGAGTTATGTTGAATAGATTTTTTTAATTCATTAGTTTTTACTTTTACTACAATTATTTTTTTAATTTTAATAATTGATTGAATTATTTAAAGTTACTTTGAATAATCTGATTACATTAAATTTAATTGTATTCAGATTATTCAGGCTTTTCAATAAAAGTATTTCTTATTAATTTAACACTTACTAACGTTTTATTAGTAATACAAGATTTTCCTATTATTTGATTAAATTAACAAATAAATGTCACGGCAAATAGATTTTCAAGACACTAAGGAAAAGTCTAGCTTTATAAAAAATTGAACTATTTTAACTTATTTTATATTAAGTTGCATAAATAATTATATAAACTTCTTATGGTTCATAAAGTGACATTGATGTTTTGGTTTGATGATTTTAAACTAATCCTGTTTTTAAAAAAAATTTGTCATCATTAATATGTTCTCTCAGCATATAATTTACTTCAGCATGTGTCTACATACTGACACTTTGCTGAAGTAATAAATTATGAAAAACTAAATAGAATTCTTTTACATCAAAACTTGGTTGATATATATGAATCATTTATTTATATATTCCTTGCATTTTATATATTTCTAGTGTTTATTTGTCATAATTCTTTTATGCTCAGTCAATTCCAAATGATCTAAATTTTGTAAATCCATTTCAATACATTGTTAAACATTCACATTATATAACTTTTTTTTATTGAGTGGTTGGCTCAAACATTATTATTTTAGTCTTTGATTTGGTTTAATAATTTAAGCCATCATTTTTCTTATCTAATTATCTATATGAACCACAATAAAAGTGTGTGCATTTTAAACCTACAAATACAAATCTTAGTTCTCAATTCAGTTTATGTACCAATAAAAGTAATTGCAATATTTCAATTGAATTTTTAAAAAAAGTTATAAAAGAGTAGTTATCCTCAAAGTTATTTAAAATATCAAAAAAACTCTTTATTTTATATATTTTATTAAATTATGTGAAATTTTTCAGAAATCAATTTCATTTTTTCTTGCAATTAATTATATATTTATCTATTTTTAGTTTTAGTTTTTGTTTAAAATATGTTTTATTAATTATTAATTCACAACTAGTGACTAAAGTTCTTAAGACATACTTCTTTTAAAATTTTTTATAAAACTTTTGTTATTAGTTATATTAGAGTAAAAAGAAAAAAAAAAATACAAATCAGCACCCTACATCATCAAATTTTCTGAAATTTGGCACAAATGTTTACAGACATAACTTAAGAAAGTTTGAGTTTAGGAAATTTAGAAAAACTTGAAGTTTGTTTGTTTTTGATGAAAAACAAACAAACTTCAAGTTTTCCTTCAAATGTTTCTGTTTACTGTTACCCTTAAGGTGCTTGCAGTAATTCTGCGATGCTGAAATTTAATTTCAGATTATTTTAAAACCTGCTAAGTCCATAAATTTTAGTGTTGTATATCTTGAAACAAGACAATGTAGTTTATTTTGAAATCCATAAATTGCACTTAATAAGGGCAATAAAAAAAACCATTGACAATTATAGCTATAAAAAAATCTGACTGATAGAAAAAAATTTATTATCATTTTCTTAAAAATAAAATGTTTATCAACTTAATGAACCAAATTTATTTTGGCCTTACAATTACTTGAGTAGTTATTGAGGTTTGATATGGAAGCAAAATTTTGAGATATTTCAAAAATCAGGCAAAACTCCTAACTTATTAATGACCAATCAAATTAGAACTTAACAGTATAGTGACTTTATTATTTTTTTATTTTCATTTGTTATTTACATCAAAATTAAAAGATAAAAAAAAAAACTTGTAAAAAAGAAATACTTAATTTTAGTGATCTTATATATGGTTTTCATTCACATTATTTATAAATAGTACAAAAAACAAAAATTATAAAAAAGTATGGATAAGACATCAGACTCTGCAAACTTAAAAGTAGCTGAAATATAAAAATCTTTATTTTCATAGGAAAACATTTTTTTTTTTTTTGTTATTGCTATAATCTAGATCTTTATTTATGAACAGTAATTTACTTAATAAGTCATCTACCCTTCAGGGGCTGATCCAGACCATCAAGTAAGGGGGTTGGAGGCAATTTTTCATCAACCTGACTTGAAAATTATATTAAAAATTTTTTTTATATAATTTTCGTTTGAATATTACTCTTTTTTTGTTTTACTCTTATACTTATATATATTACTCTTTAATTTTATATATATTACTCTTATATATAATAATATATATTAAATTATATCTTTTCTAAATTTAAATTTATATCTAGTTCTAAACTTTAACCAGTGTAACTATGAAATGGCATTATATATTGGTATCTCACTAGTCTTAGAAGTTAAACTATGGCAGTGCAAATGTATAAGGATGAAAGATAAGGGAGGAATCACATCACTACCTACTGATCTTTCTGTTATTTTTGATTTGTATGACCAGGTGCAATATTCAATCACTCACAAGTTGTTTCAAATTATCAAGTCATGTCCTGTAAGTTGTTTCAAATTTAAAGTCATGTTCTGTAAGTGTCCCCAGTGCTGAATTTGTAATATAAGCTGTTAAAATAATCAACAAATCAAGTATGCTTTTTAAAAAAAAGGCTACAAATGCTAAATACAAAAAAATGTTTTTTCAAATCATGTATGTGGGGGAGGGGGAGTATTGCCCAATTGCCTCCCCCCCCCCCAATAGATTCGCCCTTACCACCCTATATCTTCTAGGATTAACTCTTACATTCAATCTTTCTTGGAAACCATATATCAAATCGATTTCAAAATTAGCATCTACTAAGATTGCATCTTTTTATTGTGCTTGCCACTTTCTTACTTTGTATTCTATTATTTATCTCTATAAATCTCAAATCCATCCTTGTATAGAATACTGTTGCCATATCTGGGGTGAATCTTGGAATGATACCCTTTCTCTCTTAGACAAGGTGCAAAAAATGCATTGTTAACGTAGTTGGACCTGCTCTTGCAGCCAACCTTTGACCATTTTCTTATCGTCGTAATATTGCTTCTCTTCCTCTTTTTTATAAATACTATAAAAAGGTATATTAAATACATTTTTTTACCTTTTGATAGCTAAGTGATACAAACTGTTAGTAACTACATGTTCCAGGTATGGTATTAGCAGTATCCAATTGTTTCACACCTGCACACCCATCTAAAAAGCATTCAATATTTTTTGAGTTAAATTTGTTTTAATATCATTGCTGAAAACCTTAATGATTTCAAACAACATAATCACATCATGCATTGTCTAAAACATTAATAAATATTCACAGGATACATTTTAAATTTGTCTAATGAAAACTTTGTACTTTGTTCTGAACTATGAATTTATAGTTTTCTAAAAAATCACCCAATTAATAATATATCTATTAATATAATATATCTACTTTTAGTTTATTTTTTGTTTAAAATATATTTTATTAATTATTAATTCACGATTAGTTACTAAAGTTCTTAAGGCATACTTCTTTTAAAACCCAGAAATAATGCTGTTACCTCATTCATATATTCTAGATCTTTCTATCTTTTGTATCTTTCTATCTTTCATATTTTTTAGATCCATGATCCTTGGACTCTTAGCAAAGTATGAGTGTGGTGCAAGTTTTGTCAGTTTTTTACATACTAGTCCAATAACACTGGCTCTTTATTATGTGTTAAGTTTGACCACGACCAAGTTTTGTCCACTGATCAAATTCTATTCCATCGTCATCAACTCTTCAATTAAATCATAAAGTTTTTTATTCATAAGTTTTTTCTATTAGTCAAATTTTTTCTAGAGCTTAAGTTGTCAATGCCCTTTTTAATTGTCATTAGTTATTGTGTTTTATGTATCATAAAATAAACTATATTCTGTTGTTTTGAGAGATACACGACTATAATTTTCAGATTCTGCAGGTTTTAAACTCCTTTGGTACCAAATTTTAGCATTTTAACATTACTATAAAGCACCTTATAAGATTAATAGTAAACAGACTCCCCCCCCCCCCCCTTACTTTTTATATAAAATCTAACAAACTTCAAGTTGCTTTTTTGCTCAAAATCTTAAAGGAATAAAAAATTTTTGAAAAATATTCAGTCTATTCTAACTTATGTTAAAACATATTATGTTTAAACATTTGTGCCAAATTTCAGCAAATTTTTGTGATATAAGGTGAAACCCTTTGTTTTAAATTTTTTTTTAATTCGTTACATGTATTTTTCGACCCAAAGCTGCATGTGAAAAAACTTTGTAAAGAAATAGTAAGTAAAACAGTAATAAATATAAAACATACTTTATGAATAATTTGGTCATATCAAAAACAAATAAATAAAAAAAAGTTCAAATATGTTGTAAGTGTTTGTAGTGAACGTGATGACTGTGAAATCCAGTACAACAAAATTACAGAATATAGGGTGTTATTAGTTACTTAAATAATTTGTATGGTTAAACAATTTTCCAACAATTTTATATAGTTTAAATGTATTTTGCTATAGTTCAGTGAAGATCTTGACAAATATGAAAATTGCGAATGAAATTAATAAATTGAAGTATTTTCTAGCCTAAAAAAATTGCAACACAAATGTTTGCTAATGCATGAAAGTTTATTTAAAAAAATGCATGTTAGTGTAAAAAATGTTTGTTCATTACACCAAGCAATTAAAAATAAATTTTTAAAAAGATTTGATGTTAAGATAGCTAGTGTTTTTATTATATTTAAATGTAAAACACTTTTCAAAACATTTTACTCCCAAATTATCTTTCAATGTCTATTTCTTTACATCTGTGTGAACACCTTTCTATGATATCATTTTCTTAATAAAAATGGCATTTAAAAAAAAGGGTGCTAAGGATGTTTATCTGCTCCATCTATTTTATTAGCATAAATTAGTTTTTTTAACAATTTTTAAAGATGGAAAAAAAAATTGAAAAAAGTTTTCAAAAAGCTTTTTTTTAGTTTGTAATGTTAGTGTAGTTATTTGGTTTTTATTATTATTATAGCTATTAGATTTTATGAATAAAATATATATTTTGGTTTTAGGCTCTGTACTCAACTGTTTTGATTGGTTGGATATTTGTAATTTATGCTGGCTATGTAATGACAAAGAAAAGTTTAGTATAATACAGATGTTTTTGTGGCAGGATGATGATTTATAAGTTTTTACCAAGAAGAATATATTTATTAATTTGGTTTATACTTCTTGTGGCCACAGCTTTTATGTTTAACAGTTATATTTTATTCACCATAAAAGATAAAATCCAGGTTAACATCATAAATGTATCAGAACTTAAAAGTGGTTGTTTTAATGGAAAAGACATAGATTCTGTTGAAGGTCTTAGTGTTTTTTTAAATTTTGCAATGTTAAATAAAAATAAAATGTGTCGACAAACTTACGACCTGTTTCATTCTGTTTACAATGTTCGAATTAAGTACACTCAAATTTATATTAGTAGTACCTTTAGGGAGAGGCTACAGAAATGGCTTAATAGTGATCAAAGTCTAATGAGATCTGCAGAAAATCAGTCATTGGTGTTTATTGATAATTTATACTCTCATGAAAGTGTTGTCTTTAATCAAGTTCGTTCTAATAGACCTGGTGTTTCATCTAATGGAACTTCAGTATATTTACAAGAGTTAATGCTTTCCTCAAAAGAAGGATGTGATTTTTGTTCTTATGAAAAGTATACAGCATTTGATTCATTTGGGTTTATGAAGTCCAAATATGCAGTTATTGTCTCTAATGCATTCAAAATAGAAATATTTCATGGTATGTTGTTATGGTTTCAGCATGATTATAAAAGAATCTCTGAAGTTGAATATATGAGTGGAATTAATCTGGCATTAAAATGGTTTCATAAGACACATTCCCTAATACCTACTCATGATTATAGAATAATGTATTGGGATATTTTACCAAAAGCAAGTGCTAGTCAAGTTCATCCACATGTACATCTTACATTGGGGGATTATTCATACTATTCCAAGTGGAACAGTATGTATCATGCTGCTCTTCGTTACTTCAATGAAAATAATGGCAGTGATTATTTTCAGCAATTAATAGATATTCACGATCTTCTAGGTTTAGTTTTCAAGTAAGAAATTTAAATTATATTTTTTTGTTTTGTAAATGAGTGCTTGAGTTTAAAAAGTATTGCTTATGGGTTGTCCACAAATAACGTCATACAATTTCTGACAATTTTTGTCCCCTCCCCCTTTTCACAACATTGTAGCTCTTTAGTAATAAGTTCCGTATGAGTTATCACAAAACCTTTATGGATGTTAAACCTTTATGTAATTTATAGATGACCCCTTAGACAAATTGACTAAGATTAGTTTTAGTTGTTATTAAAATAGAGTTTCCATAAAAAAATTTATAAGTAAGAATTTTTTATATACACTTACTAAGTAAAAGAAAAACTCTGATACAAAACCCCTAAATTTGGGGGCTTTGTATCAGGAAAGATTAGGAGACCTTGTAAAATTACAATAAGAATACTTACATCTGATATGCAAAGAAGGGTAATTCTAGGATGGTTATTTATAAGAAATTGCCTCAAATTTTTTATAAAGTCTTTATTATATAATTATTATATTTCATCAATTTTTAATTCCTTAGAACACCCAGCTGATCTTGAATATGATCTCTCTTTTATGACAGCCTGATGCTTACAGAAGATTGTGAATTTTAACTCAAATACAACTCAATTGTTAACTGCCTCTGCCAAGCAGTGCCGCCGAGAGAGGGGGTTGCAAAGGACAGTTTGTCCCAGGCAGCAGATATCCAAGGGGTGCCAAATAAAATGTAGGTACCTAAAAATAAAAATAGTCTTTTATATATAATATAGGGAAAATTTAATAAATAAGGGCGCCAATCAGGATTGCTGTCCCAGGCGACGTGACAGCTCTTGGCAGCCCTGCTACCAAGGAAACAGGTCGGAAGATAATATGTGATTTTCTTATATCTTTCTTTTACTACTTTATAATTCTTTAATCTGATCTTCTATGCTTCAAATACTGGCAAAAAAAAAAAAAATCTCAATTCCAATCAAAACAACAAACAAACTCAAAATCTTCAGGTAGTAGCTCTCTTTTTAGATAAGAATACTATTTTTTGTGACTTTTAATCTCAGTGACATGACGTATTTGACTTATAACTCTATAAAAGTTCCAATTATCACTTCAATACTTAAACTCTTCCCGCTGATAAATATTGGCTCTATTAAAGGTTAGAGCACAGCAAGTTTTTATCGGACTGAATGGCCTTTCAATAGTATTTTATATTACAACTAACAATTGGTGTAAGATTTATTATTTTTAAAATAGTATGAATTGCTGATTGTAAGAGACATTTTCTGTCATTATTTGTAGAATAATATATTGTGTTTTCAAAATGTTTGCTGCACAAATGAAAGTTTTTCTTTAAAAAGGCAAAATGTTATCTAGATCTTTTCCATGATAATGTATAACGAGCAATTTTTTACATCTAAAAATTAAGCAATAAAAGAATATTTATTTTCAAATGTTTCAACATTAATTTGTTTTGATGAAATATAAAATTTGTTTTGAATTTTAAACACAATGACATCTAAATTAAACGTAAATTAAAAGTTCTATATTCACTATTCATAGTGGCATAAGTTATATAAGGTTATGCCATGGCAGAGAGGCTTCACTCTAAAATGTATAATAAGTTAAAATAATTTGTATTTTGTCCTGTAAAATGTTAATCTATTAGTAACATGTTTTGCAGATCAGAACTGAGTATTTTCTTTTATATGTATATATACATTTACTAAAGCGTGTTTTGATAAGCATTTGCTCACTTTTTCTGCTTACCTTAAGCTATACCGTTTTTTTCGAAAAAGAAGAAAAAAAAACAAAGAAGAATGAAACAATTGCTTCCCCATCCCAAACCCTCAGTCGATGTAGCAGCACTTCACTGCATCAGGCTATTTGTCAGTCGATGTATGTACTGAAGCCCCCAGCAGCAGGCTATTTCAGTATGATGTCAGATTGCTTACCTTAGTACGCAATACTATTTGTATATATAAATATATATATATATATATATATATATATATATATATATATATATATATATATATATTATATATATATATATTCATAAAATAAAGGTCTTAAACTTACTGTTTGTGGTAAAAAAAACAGCACTTACCTACTCTATGACATCTAGTTTGACAAAATTAAGGTTACATTATAACAAAACACATTAATTTAATTAAGGAAACTAATTAGATTTAATGTTTTTTGAAAAAACCACAAAAAACGCTAATTAAAAGACTGGAATGTTTTTATTTGTTTTTTTAACAATAAAAACATTCAGATTGTTTTTAATTTTATTATTGAACTGCAAAACATGTTGCTACATTGACTAACTTAGAGCCTGCTGCTACATGGAAGTGCCACTACATCAACTTGGTTTGGTTTGGACAAGTAGTCTATTAAATAATAAAAATAAGTTTTTATACTTTTTCTGGTCTTTATAACAATTGAAATAAAAAAAAATTAAAACTGATATGATAATTGAAAAATTAAAAACAACCAAGCAATAATGTATATAGATATATATCTTCATAGTATTTTAAAATTATGTTACGTATTGTAACGTAAACAAAATTCATTATGTTACATGCAAAATATTCGTTATTTTTATGTAACAGAGACATAATGTTAAACTTGATGTTACAGTTTTATGTAACAATAAGTAAAACTGTAGCATAATGTTACATTCAAAATGTCCGTTATTTTTATGTAACCGAGATGAAACATTGTAATGTAAAATACGTAACATATGTTATAATGTTTTTATTTTCTTTGTATTGGGAGTGTAACTAAATTTGTGCGGTTTTTTTCAAAAATTGAGGTTTTATTGTGAAAAAATGGTTATACATTCAAAGTATTGTCCATTGTTAGCTACGACATTTGCCCATCGTTCTGGCAGGTTGTGGATTCCATCTCAAAAGAACTTCTTCAGCTTGGTGGCCAAGAACAAATCAAGCCAACTTTTGATACTATCAAATGAAGTGAAGCGTATTCTGGTGAGGGCATTCTGCATCGATCGAAATATGTCTGGGCTACAAGGCTGGTGAGGTAAGACTTCCCAGCCGGTATTTTCCAAATAATTTTTAACCGGTCTTGCAACATAAGGCCAAGCGTTGTCATGGTGGAAAATTATGGCCTATTATGGACATTTTTCCACGATTTCTCTCTTCAAACGCATCAATTGTGTTCGGTAGAAATCCCCTATGATTGTCTGGCTCGATTTTAACAGCTCATAATAGAGCACTCCCTTCTGATCCCAAAAAATACAGAGCATTACATTTGCACCATGAATAATTGGCTTTGCCGTTGATGTTGATGGTTGGCCAGGCTTCACATATGATTTCTTGCGCTTATGGTTGTTGTAGTGAATCCATTTTTTCATCACCAGTAACAATCCGATGCAAAAATAACTTTCTTTGATAGCGTTCAAGCAGTATTTGCGACATGCAAAATCGCCTTTTAATGTCTCTCGGCTTCATTTGTGTGGCACCTAATTTCCAAGCTTTTGGATGAATCCCAATGCTTTTAAGCATTTTGAAATGGCTACTCAAGTGACTTCCAATGATTTTGCAAGTTCTTCTTGCGTTTGGCACGAATCTTTTTCAAGCAATGCCACCAATTCTTCATCAATTTTTTTGGCTGTCGGGGTCGTTCTTTGCTTCCAAGTTAAAATTGCCACTTTGAAACTGTGCAAACCACTTCTGACAGGTTCTTTCAGTTAGAGCATGATTGTCATAAACTTCCACTAAAATATGATGACTTTCGGCAGCACTTTTCTTCATATTGAAGTAATGAAGAAGAACACCCTGTAAAAACACTTTATCTGGCACAAATTTTAACATTTTTAAATGAATAAAAAAATTGTTGTTTATGCTTTAACCAAATGATATATATTGAAAAAGATGAGCAATGACAGTAGCTTCCAATTGAATATAATCACATATGATTACGATGCAAAATAAAACTAGTAACGTCATCTCTCAGTCACCACTCAGCCAAAGCTAAGCAAACTTAATGGTTTATCTCTATTTAATGTCCGAGTGGACAGATTGCTTGGAGATTTCTGGACAATAAAAAAAGCAACTACACCAAAAACCTCTATCGACTGTCAATGTTTTGATCTTGTGCTGTTTCTGCTTTCTAACAACATAACCAATTGAGAGATGGTCTGGAGCTGAAATAAGAAATAACTTTGCGAATTGAAACTTTATTTATTTATTTTTTTTCATGACAAATTAGTAATAAAAAAAGTAACTAATAAAGACGAATCTAACTTTATAAAGTATAACAAATAAAAAAACTTTATAAAGTATAACAAATTGAGACATAATCTAATGTTAAAAAAACTATATCTGAGACGTGCTTCAGTTACATCTAAAATCTAGATTCAGTTATGTTACGTTATGTCTCAATTGATTACACTTTAAAAAAATGTAATATAATGTAACAAAATCTTGATGTGAAATATAGTTAAAATAAATCTCAAGTATAGATTTTTTTAATGTTACATTACGTCTCAGTTTACACTTAAAACTTATAAAAGTTGCACGTTTATAAGTTTTAAAAATAACAATTGAGACATAACATTGTGAATTAAAGTGTTATTTTTTTGTTCGTGACAAAATAATCAATTGAGGTGAAGCTATTTTACAGTAAAAATAAAATAAAAGACAATAATTAGCAATATGGCAATGATAAGCAAACATTTATAGCATTATCAAGTTTAACTACCTAATATTTAATTATAAATTATGTTTATATATATACAGGGCTCAACATATCAAACTTTTTTTGTACCGGATGTCCGATAAAAATTAAAGAAGTGTGATCAAACATCATTCCTGACTTCGCATAAAATGATTTGTTTTTACAACTTGACCACGCAATTTGTTTTGACAACTCTAGGCGTTTCAAAATGCGCTGAAAATAAAAATAATCTTTTTAGCGCGAAAACAAATTTTACATAACAACTCAAATTTAATAGTGCAATAAGTACTTGTTTCTACAAGCATTAAAATAACTATAACGTTAAAATTTTTATAAAAGAAAATTTAAAAGGGGTTTTAAAGCTAAAATATTTGTTTAAAAATTATAAAAACCATTAAACCAAAAATAAAATATATATATATATATATATATATATATATATATATATATATATATATATATATATATATATATATATATATATATATATATATATATATATACTATATTATACTATACTCAATCCATAATCCATATCTATAGAGGCAGTTTCCTAATATCATTTTGCTCTCTTTATGTAAAAATGTAATCATAGATATGGATTGAGTATAGTATAGTGTGTGTGTGTATATATATATATATATATATATATATATATATATATATATATATATATATATATATATATTAGGGTGGGTCATAAAATTTTTTTTTAGAGTTGCTAACCTGGCTAATTTAGAGTTGCTAACCTGGCTATGGTCTAGAAAGTTGTTTTTTTATGTACTAATTTAGGAAAGTATTTACTTTTATGGATTGAACAATGTAAATACTTTTATGGATTGAACAATCCATAAAAGTATTTACTTTTATGGATTGAACAATGTCTTCCACCCGCAACTATAATTACAAAAATTAGCAGGCCCTATTATTATTCAAAAATAAAGTCATCAAAATTATGTGATGTAGGTACTCAAATAAAGCGAAATTTTATAAAAATTTCAAAAGTAATAATTTTTTCATATAAAAATTATTATTTTAGATTTTATTGCATAATAACTAAAGTTTTTCAACTAAAAGTGAAAAAGGTGCATTTTTACATGTTTTTTTAATAACACTTTTCTTTGGCAATATGATTTTTATAAAACGATTATTATTTTCAAATTTTTTATAAAATTTCGCTTTTTTTGAGTACCAGGTTGACCTACTTTTGAAAAACTTTTTTTCTCCAAAATATTAGGGTACCAGTAATTTTCCCAATAAAGTTGCGCCCTTTAAATCTATCACAATCATTCTCATATTTGATAGTATCAATATTAATAACTATTAGCAATGTTTAGAGCCTATATATATATATATATATATATATATATATATATACAAACACACACACACACACACACACACACACACACACATATATATCAATTTACAAGTCTAGAGTTGGGATAATATAAAGTAATACTAAAATTATGTTTATTTTTAGTATGTGTTTAAAACTATTTATAAATGTTTTATGTAGATTTGGCAATGCAACACTATTGATATATTTGACACCACAAAAAGAGTATGAGGTTTTAGTTATATCAAGAAAACCATGTCAAGATTTTTTCCGCTTGTCATATTATACTTATCAAGTATATATAAATGTTCTAAACGAGTATGCTATCAGCAGTGGGTATGTATTTCCTAAACTGAATTCAAATTCAAAATTGGAATTGCCAATGATGCTCAGAATGGTTTCTAGAGGTCCTGCTGATAACATGAGGTCTGATATCTCATCTTTTGATCTTTTTGGAACAGCAAATGTTAATAGCGATCCCTTTAAACTCATGAAAAAAGTTCACTCATATTTAGTGGAAAGTATGAAAAACATTTTTCAATTGGATGAAGATTGGTCACAAGAACATTAATATTTGCAACAATTGTATAAATGTTGTTACAGTTCTTTAAAATCCAAAAATCATGTTTAAGTATATGTATATATACACACACATATATATATATATATATATATATATATATATATATATATATATATATATATATATATATATATATATATATATATATATACACACAACCCTCAGAATTAGGGTCGGCTTTCGGCAATACTGACCTAACTGCTGATTAAAAAATATATATATATATACATACATGTATACACATAAACACACACAATGCAGTGATTATATGATAATTTAAAGTTAGGAGTTTTTAAATTTATTTTGATTAGTAGTGTAACCATTTATTGCAGAGTATTTTGAATTCTTAAGATGTTTTTAACTTTGGTTTTTTTTATTTTATTCATTTTACTTAAAGCTAGTTAATTTCCAAAATAATTCCAGTTAGTTGAACAGATGTGTTTATTTTTATCAAAATTTTTCTCTTGAAATCTAAAAACTCTTAGACACAAATTATTAAATACAAAGCCTCAATTTTTAATGTGACATAACATTTGTTTTTAGAAACAAGGCTAAATATTATATAAAATAGTTAATCTATATCAAAATTAATGACTGTTATTCTAATATATAGATTAATGAATAATATAAATAAAATTGATAATCAAGAACTTTAATTTAATCAAAATAAACAAAAAAATAAAAAACAGCATAAACAGTGCTATCTTTTAAAATATTCTTTGCAAATAAACAAGTTAAATTTAAAAAATGTATCCTTATTCTTTGGAAAGAATATGTCTTTCTTTTATTTCAAGAAATGAGTTTGTTGAATGCAACATAAATAGAATAAAAGGTATTTTAAATTATATTTGTAGAAGTTTTTCTAGGAACATGAATATTATAACAAGTATTTGTAGAAGTTTTTCTAGGAACATGGTTGCTATTATAATAAGTATTTGTTCTCTATAATATATTAAATCTGTTGAATATTTAATTTTTGGTTGGTATATATGTATTAATGTATATATGTATTAATATAAACATAAATACTCATAAAATATACTAAATTAGCATTTAGTATATTTTATGAGCTATTGTTCTTAAATCTTGATTCTTAATACAAAGTATTAATAGTTATTTTTAACAGAGGTTTTATAATAGTAACTTATTTAGCTTAATTAATCAGGGTAAATACTTCAATATAAAAAATAAGGCTATTTAGTTTGATTTAAAAAATTAAATTTTTTTTTTAAAATTCAAGTATAAATTGTGAACGAGTGTGCATGTGTGTATATACATATATTTTGTATATACATGTGTTTGTGTGTGTTTATATATACATATACACACATATTTTAATAAATATTAAATTGTGTTTATGAATAGGTTTTTTTTTTACTTTTGGGTTCTTATAATTTTTTATTTACTTATTTGTAACTTTTTTTTAAAATGTTTTTAACTTTGCTAAAAAAGTTCTGGTTAGTTCTGTTTGAGTTTTTCAGATGCTATATTAGATAATTTACATAGGTAAAAGGGCAGGGGGGTTACTAGTAAACATACAAATGCGTACCAGGGAGGGAGAGGGTTCAAGAAAGCAATTACATGCATGTTTTAAATATCTCTTGATCTTTATCTCTCCATAAAACTTGATTTATTTTTTTAAACAAAAGCATTGAACTTCACGAGTTTAAAAAAATAAATTAAAAAATACTGTTATGTATCAGAGATATTTCTAATTAATTCAAAGTTTTTTGTTTTTTTTAGTCTTATGAAAAATTTTACACATTGTTTAGTGGAGCGAGTTGTTATGTGCATTCAGGTGGAGCGAGTTGTTAAGTGCATACAGGTGTGTACAAAGGAGGAGGGGAGTTCTAAATTAGTGGTTTTACTGCTTACATACTTTATGGATGTCCCCTTTACTTGTATTTTTAAAGTGTGAAGAGAATTGAACAAGAGAGTTTATAAAATTTTTTTGAATAGTAAAATGATTAGTTAACTTGTTAGTTTTTTTCTTTTAAATATATATTTTTTTAAATTTTTTTTTATTTTAATTACAAAATTTGATAACAAAAAAACTATTTTATTTAAGTTTTTTTTTACCTTCAGTGTGACCACAGACTACTTTGTTACAATTAATGCTCATGATTAACTTTTAAATCTGTTAAATAGTATGATTACTTAAGAAATTTGCTTTTAGTTAAATGCAATACAATGAATGTATGATATTTAATATGATAATACTGCAGTATTATTGCCCAATATTATTTATAGTATGAATAATCAATGTTATGATTCCTTCTATTAGTATCTGAGAATTGCAATATCAAATAGTATTATTATTATAAGTTTTAAGAGAGGCTCAAAAACCATATAGATTTTCAGAGAGTAAGTTATTAAACTCAAAAAGACTCAAGAGAGATATATTGTTACATAACTCACAGAGATATATTGTTATATAATTCACAGAGATATTTTGTTATATAACTCACAGAGATATATTGTTTGACTCAAGAGGAAATATTATTAGTTTGTTAATTAAAGATTGAAAGATTTTGTTATAGTAGTGAAAAACACGAAGTAGAATGAGACTTGACTTAAAGCTAACAAGAAGGAATAAAAGCTTCCCTATCTGCATGAACCTAGGAGATTTCATAGGAGACACAATTTTCAGCAGAGACAAAAAGCATCGATCCCATGGGCCATTATAGGCCATTATTATATATATTATGGGCTGGAATCCCAAGAGGTTTGAGATGAAAGTTTTAGTGTGGTCATAGCATGAATTGAGCTTCCTAAAGAAGAACAAGGAGAAACTGAACACAAGCAAGGGTCAGAGACTATCAAGAGGTGAGGGTAAGTGATTATGATTTTTTTTGCAAAACAAGTCACAACTATCCAGGGTTGTGGAGTCGGAGTTGCGGAGTTGTGACATTTTAAGCGGAGTCGGAGTCGCTAAACAAAATTGCGACTCTGACTCCAATAGTAAAACTTATCGGTATTGCACGTGCATGTATAAAACATTCAATTAACCTTATATTTATACTAAATCTCAAAGAACGTTTCATAAATTTTTCAAAAAACTTTTTTTTAATTTATCACATAATATTTTTTTAAAAATTCAAAAAATTTTTCAAAAATTTTGCTTTGGACTTGGAGTCGGAGTCGGAATCAGTTGTACTTAAAAAATTTCAACAACTGGAGTTGGAGTCAGAGTCGTTACTTTTTTTTAACAACTCTATACCCCTGCAACTATTTGTGTAAGAGATTAACAAGATTGAGAAAGACAGGGTTAGTAATACTAGAGCCAAGGTGTTTAGTGTGATGAGTATTATAATCACCAATAGAAACTGTATAGTTGAGGGATATAGAAAAAGTATTTAATGCATAAAAGATATTTTCTATTGGTTGATAACTATCCAATTGCCAACATCAAGTTATTGGGAATTAACTGTACATACATACATACATACATACATACATACATACATACATACATACATACATACATACATACATACATACATACATACATACATACATACATACATACATGCATACATACATACATACATACATATGTATGTGTGTATGTATATGTATGTTATGTATGTATGTATGTATGTATGTATATATATATATATATATATATATATATGTATGCATGTATGTATGTATACTTGTATGTATATATGCTTATATGTATGTACAGTTAATTCCCAATAACTTGAACCTCCAAGGGACCAAGCAAAATGGTCAACCAACAAATTTTCAACTAAAGCAAATTCAGGTTAAATCAAACTTTGGCAGATATTCCAATTAAGGCAATTTTTCTTTATTCAATGCTAAATTATATTCTTTAAATTTACCTAATTATACTGTTTTAATGAAAGAAAATACGGATTGTATTCACCCGATATACTCGAAAGGTAACATTTATGATTTTATTTTATTATCAAATTTATGATTTTATTTTATTATTGAATAATAATCCTTATTATTTGGTAATAAAATTGCATCTAAAAGGTTATTTTAAAGGTAAATTCATTAAGCTACAAAATAATTGTTTTTTCAACAGTTTTATCATGATTTATCGTTTAAAAGTTTTATTATAGCATTTTTTTACATTTGATAATGATCTATTCTATTCAGATTTAAATACAGTGAAAAAATAAAGAAATTGTTAGACAGTTATTTATGTTTTATATGGAATGACTGCTTATTTTATAAAGAAAATTAATTATGGCTTTACTTCTAAAAAGGGTGCAAAAAAATGGTTTGACATATAGAAGTTTGAGTTATCCAAGGTTTGACTTAACTAGAAAATTTTAGTAGTTATTGATTAGATAATTTCAGGGGACCAAATGAAACAGTTTAAGATATTAAAAGTTTGAGTTGATTAGTGTTTGACTTACCAGGAATCAATTGTATAAAAGTTCACAAATATCTTTATGGACTTAAAACATTATACTAAAAAAATATCATCTGTGGAGGCTTAAGTACATAAATTGACTGAGGATTTGGGTTTCAGTACTATTTGCATATAAAATATTATTACATATTCTTATTTGCATTAAAACACATTTATTGCTGCAAAGAAATTTATTTGTTTCATTCTTCTTTTTTTTCTCTTCGTCTGAAAAGTGGAATTAAAGTTGGCTTTTGAAAATTAAAAGTGTGCAAAATCTATTATTAACACACTTAATAAAATTATTAACACACTTAAGTTTGCTAAAGTAATATTAAAATAATAACTTGATTATTAAAGGTTTTATTTTTTTTTTAGATTTACCTTATGTTCTTCTTCAGAGACTAGTTATTTATTTATCTCCGTATGGTCTATACATATTGGAGGAAAAAAATGTATTTCAAGGTTAGTATATATATATATATATAAATATATATATATATATATATATATATATATATATATATATATATATATATATATATATATATATATATATATATGTATATATATGTATATATATATATATATATATATATATATATACTATATATATATATATATATATATATATATATATATATATATATATATATATATATATATCAGTTCTCTGAATTAGAGTTGGCATTTAGCAATGCCGACCTAACTGCCAACCTGAATGTGTTTGAGGTCAGCTAAAAATTACCGACCTCTTTTTTATGTTTTTTTGCTGACCTGATGCTGATCTCAAAAAGATTAAGGTCGGAAAATTATTGCCGACCTCATTTTTCTTAATTCCAAGGATTGATATAAATATATATATATATATATATATATATATATATATATATATATATATATATATATATATATATATATATATATATATATATATATATATATATATATATATATATTGTTGTTTTATTAAATAAAGTTTTCCTTGTATTAATTTTCAAACTTAATATTTATATATTGATTAGAAAAAGAAAAAAATTTAAGCCCTAATTAAATTCATGACTTTTGGTATTTGAATTAATGATATTAATCTGTTTTTATAATATTAATTATTTTTGTAATTGTTATATAGATATTTTTGTTAAATGATTTATTTTTATCATTCATTTTTTATACAATTTTAGGTGCTAGTTTAAAAGAAAAATGGCTGACACAATGGCAACTTGCTATGTGTTGTCGTTTAGATATTCGAAAATATTTAGAAGAATCTATTACGTGGAATTCTCATTGCACTCTTAAACAATTAAATGAACAGGAAGTGTTTTATAATAGCCTAATGAAAGAAATAATTGAGAATTTACAGTTAAAGAAACCCATCGGTATATATAAAATTAATTATAATATATAATGCTTTTCCATAAAATTCTTTTTACAATTAGTAAATAGTTTGCAATATATGTTGCTCAGGACGATTAGGAGAATTTGCTGCATTCGGTAAAAGTTTGACCAAATATTCAGGCCAAAAATATTCTGAGGATATTATGCTTTCTAATATAAAGCAAAAGATTTATTTATTTATTCTTTTATATACAAATTCTTGTTCAAAGTTTTATGAGAAATGTAAGGTTAACTTTTCAAACCCCAGGAGCAGGTTGCTTGTCATATAAAAAGTTTGGATACAAATCTTCCAGTTTAAATATATTTGAATTTTTACGCCACATATTTGAATCGCTAACTTGAAAAGGGGGTCATGTCATATTTTTTTCAAAATTGAGATTTTTATATAATTATACAGTTTTATATCTTAAAATACATTTTTTTGTTAGTTTCTGAAAAGAAATTTTTTGTGACATGTTCCCTTTTTCAAGTTAGCCATATATTTACCTTTGAAGTCTTTATTGCAATAGGCTTCATCATCTTTATTTATGCACAAGTTTTCTAGATTTTTTTAATGGCTAATTGCTTTAATTTCTCCACTAATTAATTTGGAGTTTTCTTTTTATGATTTTTATGATGTGATTTTTACTTTCTTAAGGTTTATGTACTATCAAAGCTTAACTGCAAGTTTTCTCATAATATCTCTTAGGGACTGAAATGAATTAATATCTCTTAGCGACTGAAATGAAATAATATCTCTTAGCGACTGAAATGAATTAATATCTCTTACCGACTGAAATGAATTAATATCTTTTACTGACTGAAATGAATTAATATCTCTTACCGACTAAAATGAATTTTTCTTTATTAACCTTATATGTTAATCACAATAAAAATGTATCACAATAAAAATGATCTGAATTTATATTCATATATTAATTGTATTTATATATTTTTACGGCAAAACATAAAAGCAAAAAAATTAAAAAATAATATCATTTTTTATAATTTACCATCCCTTAAATGACTTTACATAAAATCTAGAAAAAAAATAAAAGAATAAAACCTTATACAATCTTTTAATTGTCCCCCTTTAAAAATAAATATTTTGCAAACAGACTGATAAAAAGAATGTTTAGATCATAGTTAATAAAAACACATTAATGCTAAAGTTAATGCTAGGAAAGATCTTCATATGATTTCTGAACTACATAACTGGTTAATGCTAGGAAAGATCTTCATATGATTTCTGAACTACATAACTGGTTAATGCTAGGAAAGATCTTCATATGATTTCTGAACTACATAACTGGTTAATGCTAGGAAAGATCTTCATATGATTTCTGAACTACATAACTGGTTAATGGAAAGAAATCAGATTGTAATAAGTTGCTTGAACTCTTGAATAGTTTCCTATTAAATAATTAAAAGTCAATGAAAATCTGTCTAGACCATACCACATGGAATCACAGGCATTAAATTTTTAAATATGTATATTAGCATATAGTATCGAACACAATTTAATTTTTTTACAATGTTTCTAGAAATTATTTTTTATTACACAAGGTAGTGTGAAAGATTTAAATTATATATGCTGAATCATTTTCTAGATATAAACTGTAGGTCTTTAGATATTATTAGGGCTTAAAGATCTGAAAATCTTGGGTTAATACTTTTTACAGGTAGTAGCATATTAAGCTCAATCAAGTAAAAATAAAAAGTTAGACAAAATAAATTAATAATAAAAATAAAAATTAGATCAATAGATACATTAGGTCTTAAATTAAAGTCTTCATCAATTCATCAAGTCAAATTAATATTTGTCTGTAAATTATAAATTATTAATATATTGTATTATTTTGTACTTCTGTATTAAATTCATCATTTTTCTATGATGTTCATTATTTGTGATTATTATTATTACTTTATCATATTTTTATATAATAATCTTCATCATACCTAATGCAGTACATCAATAATAATAACAGTTTTTACAATAGTTAAAACAGTTTTTACAATAGTTAAAACAGTTTTTACAATAGTTAAAACAGTTTTTACAATAGTTAAAACAGTTTTTACAATAGTTAAACTCATTAAAGTAACTGATAATCAGTTTAAACAAATTAATATTTTAAAAATCAGTTTAAAAATTATGTTTTTTGCAATTTTTCAGTAAATAGTCTCATACTTTTATATTATTACGTACCACTTTTTTGTATTATAATTAATTATTATATTTTATTGTAATGTTGCTTTCTTGATGTGAAATATAATTTTATTATTTCAAATATTTAGTCATTGTTTTTGTTTTTTTATTTTTTTTTTATTTTAGAACATTGTTATCAGTCTGCACTTTTATTGTATATGAGTTATCCGAATTCTTGTGACTCAACCTCTAATTTTGAAAGTATCACACAAAAATATGATCTCAAAACATTTTTATCATATTTGTCAAGTCATGTCACTTTATTACACGTGACAGCATTTACAGCAACAAGAATTGTTGAGCATATGGATATTTTTCAAATTATTATTAAAAAAATTACCAAACTCAACATCAATCTATTGCACAGACCTTATTTTAACTTAAGTAGTTTATGTTTGATCATTAATCTCGGAAGAAAACACAACTTACAATCGATAAAGTTAGCTTACAATACAAACTTAAATAGTTTTGATCCAAGTTGCATTACAAATATTTTTGATTCTATCTGTGATAATATGAATTATACTTTTTCTATTGATGATTATGATGAAGAGTTATGCTGCAGTGATGATGGCTTATCTGAGCCTTCTTTGAGTTATCAGTGTGCCTGTATTGATGATTTGTATGATATTGCTGTTGAAAGTATTTCAAAATGTCAGTCTGTCGATACTAGAGTTATTGAACTTGAAGTTGTTACAAATGATATTGAGTTTTCTGATATTTTACTAACTTACTTGCCAATGTGGACAAGTTTAGAGAGTTTATGTATTCATTCTTTAGAAGAAAATGTTATAAATTTTTTTTATTGCATCAAAAAATCTATCACAAGTTTGAAACATTTAGAATTCATTCCATTAGAAATATTTCCAGAGCCAAACATAGTAGACATACTTTATCCAAAATGCTTGGTTCATCAAAACAATAATTGCCATATTACAAAGTTTGTGTATCGTGGTCAACTACCATTGCCTGTTTTAGAAAACATCTTAAAGACACCAATATGTAAAAGTAAAAAAAATGAAACTGATAAATGTCAATTTTCTGGCATTACCTCTCTTACAACACATTTGGGTGAAGATTTTAATTTTGCAATTTTTTTTGTCGGAAATACTTTGTTGAAAGAGTTAACTCTTTACCAGACTTGTTGTTATCACTATGATGATAATCTCTTTGAAGCACTGGTAGGTAGGTTGGTTGGGGTGAAACAATTTTTTTTTTCTTTTTTTTTTTTTTTAATAAAAGTAAGTTTCATAAAAGATAAAAAATTATATATATATTTTTTAGACCATCCTTCTTTGGAAATATTTAAAATGGAATCAATCTACAAGAAACCACCACATCCAATTGTGTTATCCGTTTCTACATTCATATTAAATAAAACCTTGACCCAATTGGCGATAGTAAAATGTTTTAATTCAGGTATGTTGTAAAACATCTTATTCATCTTAATTGCTCCTGCATTTACTTAAATTTTAATAGTTCAACATGTAAAACTTGTTTAGTTTTCTTTTATTAAAATGAATAATAATATTGTTTTAATTAACTTTAAGCAAAAACATGATCAAAACTTGATATCATGAAGCGCCCTTAAAAAAACTTGAAAAAACTTGGTATCATGTTGCACTCTTAAAAAAACTTGATATCGTGTAGCGCTCTTAAAAAAACTTTTAAATATATAATTGAAAAGTATTAAACATTAAATTTTTTAAAAAAATATTTAAAAACTTTTTTTATTTACTTGTCTTATTGGAAAAAAGAAAGAAAAAAAAAATTATTTCTTTTTTTCTCTTTTAATGCAACTTTTATTCTTTGTGATTGTTTACAATATACACTATAACTGTTCAATGCACTATAACTGTTTAATACAAGTCATTTAAAAATAAAAACAGATGTTTTTAAGACAATTTAGTCTCTTTACCTTTTAATGTTACTTTTTTATAAAAGTAATAAAGATAAATTATTTTTGTAAAATTTAATATTGCATATCAATGTTAGAGTGTTATATTAAAGTTTTCAGTAAAAAGTAGATAATAGTAGATAATAAAATTCTGTAGACAATAAAAAGCAAGTGATTTTTATCAGTAATTTGTATTAAGTTATTTTATCATTAATTATTCATTAAATATTATGGGTTAAATGCAGCAAGTGTTGACAACCATGTCAGTGAAACAGATTTTAAATTTTAAAAGCAGTTTATTTTATCCAATACATTCCAAAATTAAATGCACTAAATACTTTAGTATTTATTAAATTTCAGTTTTTAAAATATTATAAGTTTTATTAAAACTAATAGTTTAAATTTTTAAAGTATTTAAATCATATAAATATAAAATAGTTTCAATTAATTTATATATTTCTGATGAATAATGAAATTATTTTGAACTAAATTGGTTGTATAGCTTTTTTCAACAAATGCCCATAGTTGGTGTAATATGTTTCGACAAATCTTTTAACTGTTTTGGGTTTTTTAAATAAAAACTTTTAAATTTAATTTAAATTGCACTCTTAATTTCATAAGAACTTTTTTAACTGTGTTCATCAGTTTCATTGATACTAAAAAGTCTTTGCTTCCATCCAAGAGCACTTACAGCCAAAAAGTTTTATACCCTGCAATTAATTTCAATACTTTTTAAACTTTCTACCAACATCTTAATTATAACATCACATGTAGATTAGGGAATCTTCTTCATTATCTTCAACTTCTTTAGATCAGCTTTTTGGTTATAAGCTTCTGTTTAAGCTTGCAATTTATTTTTAAGGGAGGGACTTTTACATTTATGCATATCTGTTTAGTTTATCTGGGTGTTCCTTGTAATTCAAATATTTATATCAATATATACATAACTTTTATTTAGCAATTCTTTATTTACTTATTATGTGCATTATGTGTAAAATGTAATAATTCAAAGTATAAATACAGTAGTATTTCTTATTCAAAAATGTTGATTTAGGAGGTTTGAAAATTTTCGTAACATCTTTTCAAAGCTATCCATTAGGAACCCAATGGTTTTTTTTTAAGGTGGATTCCACACTCACTCCCCTTTATTTTGCACATAAGAGTATATTTTTAAAAAGTTGTAAAAATTTGGACTAGGGTCAAGGTTTATAGGATTATAGGTTAACTATATTTTTGTAACCCACTTTGTGCTGTGGTCACACTTTGTAACCCACTTTGTAATGTGTTCACACTTTGTAACCCACTTTGTGCTGTGTGGTGGCATGAAATAGACCCCCACTTGTATATATGTTAAACAAATAAAATCAATGTTTGTTTGTTTTTAGTTTTTTGTGTTTTTAAACAATATAATATTAGGAAAATCTTCTAAAAACTTTTTTATTTTATTTTTGTTTATTTTTTAACATCTTTATTTAAAGCATCAATCCTTTTTTGTACCTTGTCTAAAAGAAGATTTGCTCCAGATATAGCAACATACAAGGACGGATTTGAGATTTATAGAGGTAAAGAATAGAATCCTGAATGAGAAAGTGAATAAGAAATTGCTGTTCATAAATAAAGGAAGATCTAGATTGTTGCTGTTAGGTTTTTTTTTCAAAGGGAACACAATTTCACAATAAATAAACAAATTTTAAAATATGTTTGAATAACTGAAGTAGAAACTTCTAATAATTGCCTGTTCAAACAACTGTGTATATGTGTGTATGTGTGTGTGTATATATATATATATATATATATATATATATATATATATATATATATATATATATATATATATATATATATATATTTATTCATTATTAAATAAAAAAAAGTACTCGCAAAGTTGTCTTTTCAGTAAAACTCTGCATTGGTTTTTTGAAACCAGCATGCCCTTGATCATTTATGCAGTTAATAGTTCATTTAATTATGCAGTCAATGTTTTAAATTATTTCAGGCACACTTGGAAAAGCTTTATCCTTTGCTATCTCTTCATCTAATCTTGTTACTCTTATATGGTCTGATAATGGTTTAGGTAATTTTTTTAATTTTATTTTATTATTTGAATTTTCTTATAATTTTTAAATGTTATTGTTTTGGAATTTACAGTTTTTATTTTTTATTTTTTTTTTTGTTTTTTGTTGTTTTTTTCTTAAATTAAATTTAAACACCAAAAAAGATTGTGAGTTTGAATTTAAAATTTTTAAATTTCAAAAAAAAACTCTAAATTAACATATCTTTCAAAAAAGTAATGATAATGTTTAATCAATTAGTAAGATTTTATCTAGTAGTAATACTACATTATTGAGTTTAAGAAACATCAAAACTTTGTTTAGTTTAACTTTACATTTTATCTTTGATCAAAAAAGGTTTTTGTTTTGGCTTTTTGCTCTATAACTAAGTTAAGACATAAGTTATTAAAATAAATCTTTTTTTTTCTTTTTATTTATTTATTGTTTTTTCTTTCTTTTTCTTTTATGATAAGCATGTTTTTTGAATAATTATTAATATTTTAGAAAATGAAGGTCTTAATGAATTTTCAAACATTTTTCTGAATAATGGTTTATCTAAGATTCAAAATCTTGATATAAGGTAGTCTTATCTTTACTTTTTAAATGAAGTTAAATTTTTTGTTTTTAATATTTTTTTACTGTTTTTGTTTTACTGTAGGTGATAATATATTCAGTTTAGCAAATTACTCCACTGTAGGTGATAATATATTTAGTTGAGTAAATTACTCTGCTATTGCAAATTTAGGTTAAGAATATAATACATTTTGTTTGGAAAACATACAAGTTATGATATATATATAGGAAAATATATATTAGTTATTTTTTAATTGTTGTAAATATTTTATTTAGTATTAGATTAGTCAGCAATTATTGTGTTACATATTTATCGTTTTAAGATTAAGAAACCACTACTGTCAAAGAAGTTTTATTTTTACTGTCAAAGATCTTTAACTTAAAAATACTTGAAAAACTGCTGCATAAAAGAACAAGTTCACTCTGTAAAAAATATTAAAGTCAACTTTATATAGCCATTTATTAAATAAATTTATTATTAGTGTTGATAATGAATTACTAATAATTAATGTACTTATGACAAGTTTGTCTCTCTGACACTGATACTCTGACATTTGTCAAAGTGTTTGTCTTTATGAACCAAATATAAACTCAATTTATGTCATGACTTTATAAACCTAAATAAATATAAACTTAACTCAGTAGTAATACGAGTAGTGACATAAAGCAATTTTTTTTATATATAGTTTTTGTTCATGATTCAATTTGAAAAAGTGGTTATTTTGTAAATAATAATAATTATATATATATATATATATATATATATATATATATATATATATATATATATATATATATATATATATATATATATATATATATATATATATATATATATATATATGTATATATATATATATATATATATATATATATATATATATATATATATATATATATATATATATATATATATATATATATATATATAAGCATCTTTTGAGTACTTGCAATTTAGTAACAACTTCTTCGATGCACATGGTGTGAGTTTATTTGCTGATTCATTGGCCCTAGGTTGTCGTTACTTACATAAACTTGTCATTAACTATCAGTACGATATAAAGGAAAGAGTAGAGTATTTGATTCATATAAACAAAAGTAAAGAATCTTTATTAAAAAATATACAGGAAAAGTTTAATTTTCATGTTCACACTGTGATTGGAAGTTCAGGTATGGTGGCTGATAACTTTGATTATATTAGTGAAATGTAGTATATTTTTTTTTACAATGTTCTTATTATAAAATAAGATGCATGATTAAATAGAAAAATCCATATAGATTATGCGTATAGATTTACTTGTTTTAGTCATTATTGTTATCAATGTTATAAAAACAATAATTATTATCGTTGCTATTATTATTGTTATTATTGAGTAAAAGACTTGTAAATTTTTTCGCAACCAAAAATTTGTTTTTGTCATCATTGCAAATGTTTGAAATCTATTGAAGTTTTGATGTTTATTTTTTTAGTTTTTTTTTTATGTTTTAGCTTTTACTTTTGTATTTTTTGTGGCATTTTTTTCTTTCAATTCCTTTTCTCCTATTAGTTTTTCTATTATCTTTTCAAATGTTTTAATATGTATTTATAAATAGAATATGTATTTATTTTAAAATATTTTATTTTTATTAAAATTTTAACTTAAGTTTTGAAATGTTTTTAACAAATTATGGTTTTAATTGTTTATTTTATTCAATTTTTTTAATTATTGTCCTTTGTTTTGAATAACACTGTAGTGAGAGCTTTCAACTATTGTTGATAGTTTCTTTACAATCTTAGAATAGTTTAAAAAAATAATTTTATGAAATAAACATATAGGAATATTTATTGGAAATGATTTAGTTGTCTGAATAAGTAATGGATCTGCCCAGAGTTTTGATTGAAAGAAATTTTGATCTTTCTGATTATGAAGTATCAGATGAAATATCCGACTCTGATAGTAATAATTCTTGCCCAATATTAGATAATGAGTTACCCAGTGAAAAAAATTGTGAAGGTTATGATGTTGAGGTTGATGGTATTATACTAACTGAACTTGAATGTCCACTATGCAGCCTGGTGCTTAGGAATCCTGTTCAATTAGAACAATGTGGCCATTGTATGTGTCGCAATTGTTTGAATAAATGGAAAATTCATTCAAGGAGGTAAGTTCAAGTTTTTAGTTTTTATGTTATTATATTGAGTTAGTGTAATCTTTAGTTCTATTATTTACTTTTGTAGTCACTCAGCATTTAGATGTCCAATATGTCGTGTTGATATCAAGGAAGAAAGGGTAACTAATTTTTTTATTTTAAATAAAAACTAATTTTAAAGCGGGTGAAAAAATGTTAACTTACTGTGTCTTTTTTCATATATGTGTATATATATATATATATATATATATATATATATATATATATATATATATATATATATATATATATATTGAGTACAGTTTTGTAAAATATAACTTTTTTTTTTATAATTTTCTAAGAATATTATTTTGTCATCTTTACTTACATCAAACTTTAGAAGTTATGAATATGTATATTAAGGTACATTTCACTTAATTTTTATGGTGCCTCATAGGGATTGATATTTGTACAAAATCCCAAGATCTCGAAATCCCGGGATTTGTACAAATTGTTCATCCCAAAATCCCAGGATTAGTTTGTGAAATTTCCCTGGATTTCTGCATCATCAAAAAAAAAAAAAGTTAATAAAGTTGAAGCTTATAATTGTAATAAAGTAATTTGTACATCGTCTTCGATATAGTAGCTGTTTGGTTGTGTAACTGTTTATTCTCTTTGCAATGTTTTCCTTTTAAAACTCTCTCTTTCTGTATTTTATTAAAAATGTGCTTGTCTGCAAAATGTGTATGATCAAACTTATAAAAAAACATTTATACTATATATATTATATTATACTATATATATATATATATATATATATATATATATATATATATATATATATATATATATATATATATATATTATATATATACTATATATATTATATTATACTATATATATTATATTATACTATATATATATATATATATATATATATATATATATATATATATATATATATATATATATATATATATATATATATATATATATATATATGTATATATATATATATATATATATATATATATATATATATATATATATATATATATATATATATATATATATAGTGTAATATTAAAACTAGTGTATTATAAAAAAAAAGATGAAATTTAAGCGCTTGCTGGTGGAAAGAGCAAAAGTTTTTAATAGAAGGTATACCTTAATTTAATTTTGAATCTTTTGCTTCCAAAAGTGTGCGCGGTTTTAATTTCATTTTTATATTTGTTCATTTTAATTCCAAACACGGGCGTGATTCAAATTCCATTAATTTTTAGTTCAAATATGTGCGGATTAACATCAATTTAATTAATCAAGTTACTAAAAAACAGGTTTATTAAATTACAAAATTTTATTTGCGTTTTTTAATTAATGAGATCATCATGCATGTTTTTATTATTTTTTAATTATTATTTTTATTTGTACTGTGTTACCATTTTAAGGTATTGTTGATTAATTTAAATTACTTAGGTTCATTAATTTTTAAAAGTCTTACATAAGTTTTAATATAACAAAATTAAGATAAAACATGTTTTTAACTTAATTTTAGTTTCATTAATGTATTAAGTATTTTAGTTATATTATCATTAAATTAATTATTTTTAAGTGTTTGATGAGTACTTAAAAAACATTCAATTGCGTTTTTTTCTATTCAATCCCGGAATTTCCCAGGGACAAATTTCTCAATCCCAAAATCCCGGGATTGAAAATTTCTGGGATTTTTGCCATCCCTAGTGCCACTGTATGTGAATAATGAATATTTATATTAAGGTACATTGTACTTTCAAAGTTTTTTATTTTTAATTTGCTGGATAATTTTTATGGTGCCACTATATGTGAATAATGACTTTAGGAAAAAAAATTTTTTTTTCTATGCGGGGTTGCAGTTTTCGAAAATTAAAGTTGATCATTTATGCATAAATGCAATGGGTGTAAATTTTTAAGTTATTAAAATCTGAAACTTTTTAGATTTTTTTTATATTACCATATACTATAAAATGTGAATATATATATATATATTTTTTTTAATGTATATATTAGTGGGGTAAAAAGATAATTAATAGTGGGGTAAAAAAGTGTATTAAAAGATTAAAATAAAAATGTTAAAATAAATAAAACATACAAATTTAAAATAATCAGACTTTTATTGTTTGAATGGTATTATTTAAAGTTCAGGCAATAATAATTATTTATAATTAGATTGTTTTAATGGCAACCCATGAGTCCTTAGAAATCAGAGGGGGTTGTATAAACACCATTACAGGTTCAGAAAAAGATGGAGGTTTTCTATCAAATCTGGAATGATTAACCAGGAGGCAATTATTCTGGTCTATTTTTATGTTGCATTAAAATAAATTACTGTTGAGGCATATAACTAATAACATGCTCTAACTAGTTCAAAGGATTTTTTACTGGCCCCAATTGCATACCGGCTCCATCTAAAGTTAATGGCATAAAAAAGAATTAAAACATTTGAACCTATATAACAGCTGGAAGCTTTGATTGAACATCCTGAAAAAATTCCCAAAACAATGTTGACAGATACAATGCTTTGTTATAAGTTGCTATAACGTTTATCTACAGACCTAATTGATATATTCTTTCTAAAGCAAAGTGTAAAAATACATGCCATAGCAGATGGCTTGCCACAACAAATGGATTGCCACAGCAGAAGCTTTTTTCTATATGAGTGAGCACACGTTTACTGGTGACGTTTTTTAAAAGTTTCATTTAATCGTTAAATGGGTAGCACAAGCTTTCATAAAATAAAAGTATTAGAAAACTAAAATATTTATTTTTCAAAAAAAAAAAATTACTCCTTTTTAATAGCATATGGTAGTGTATTTTAAAAAACCTAAATAGTTTCAGATTTCAATAATTCAAAAATTTTAACCAAAAAATAAGAAATTAAAAACAAACCAGTATAATAGCAACTTTTTTAAAAAAATTTTAAAAGTTGCTATTATACTGGTTTGTTTTTAATTTATTATTTTTTGGTGCTGATGTTTTGCTGGAGTAGGTTTGCTCCCAAAATACTTAAGTTGAAATTCATAAACATTGTATATGAATTACACCTTAAGTTATATGAATTACACCTTATGCCCAAAACTTCCCTTTCAGGTTTTTAGATTTTAGGCTCTTAATAAACTAAAGATTTGGTTTGCAGCAACTGTTTTGCTTGTTCTTCTTTTTCCAAAAAAACTTTATGGGATTATATAAGCAAAAGTTTCACTATATTTATTTTTATATATGGCTAGTTGTTAGATTGATGCTGAAACCAACATTACAATATATATGTTTGCTAAGAAATTTGTAATGATGATTTTTGCACAGTTGCTAGGGGATTGTATCACAGTTGCACAGTTGCTAGGGGATTGCATCAAAGTTGCACAGTTGCTAGGGGATTGCATCAAAGTAATCACTACAGGTGTTATGAAATTAAGACATTTTTTTCCCGCCAACTTTTTAAACTACTTTACTTCCAACTAGACTGTAAGCAATCACTATTAGATTTGGAAGTTGCTGGAATAGAAAAAATGAAGTTTATGAAGCAAGATAACGATTAACAGATGACTTGAAAGATTGCAAATTATATGAATCAGGAAAGTAAGATGAAGAGGGCAAATTCCAAATAACTGATGTTGGAGGAAAAAACTAGACATATAAAATCTTTTGGAGTACTTATGAACCCTCAAAGTAAAAGGATGAAACTTAATTGAATGATGAGTAACACAAGAATGAATTTTAGTAGATGGCACAAGAGATGCTAGCTATTTATTGTATTTATCGAAAAAAGAAAGAGAAGCAACATGACAATGTGACAATGGTAGAAGGTAAGCTGCATCTGCAGGTCCAACTATGTTTACAATGCGTTTTTGCTCCTTGTCTAAAAGGAAGAGGGCATCATTCAAAGATCTGCTCCAGATATGGCAACAGTGTTCCATACAAGGGCGGATTTGAGATTTATTTGAGATGAATCCTGAGTAAGTAAGTTATAAGCATGATAAAGAGATGCAACCTTAGCAGATGTTAATTTTGCAATGGATTAGATATATGATTTCCAAGAAAGATCTAAAGTAAGAGTTAATCTTATAAGATAATGGGTAGATGACTCCAGCGACGTATCCAGGCCGATTTTAATACCGGTATGGCCCCTAAATTTCTGCCCAAACTTATAGTTGGTAAATACTGAGGACCTTGGATTTGCAAACAACTTTTAAAACAGATTATTAATGTATTTTAAGTCAATCAGAAGGTCTAATTCGAATTCATGCAGATGAAATATGGAATACGTTACTATTGGATTAAAATAAAATTAAAATGCACGTTTTGATTGGATTAAAATAAAAAACGCATTTTATATTTTTATAATTTTTTTCATAACAAAATTAACTTGAAAAAAATATACTTAAAATGAGTTTCTCATCCTCTTACATTTTAATAACTATAATTTACAATTTGATTAAACTCTATAAGCTTTAAACTTTATCATTTTAAATAATAATAAAATTGCAGTAAAAATGTAAATAAACTGGTTTAAGTTATAAAATAAATAAAACTTTTTTTAAACGTAATAAAATAATAAAGAACATTTACTAGATGGAAGTATGTACATGATGTGTCACCAATCTCAGCAAAAATGGGAAACACTATTTCCATTTGCTATTTATTCTGCAAAGGATCAAGGTTGGTTATGTAGTATTTGTAAAGAATATGGGGATATTGGAGAAGTGTGGAGAACTAAAGGCGTGAAGCTTTTTGAACATCCACAAAGGGCATTTACTGCACATCAAAATTCAAAGAGACGCCAGGATGCTGCCAGGTTGATGGCAGCTCGCTACAGAATTGCAGATAAACAACGCAAACGTAACGTCATAAAAAATTTTTTTAAACTGTTTATTTTGTAATTAAAAAGAACTGGGCAGTCCAGAAAAACTTTAGTGATATCGTTGAATTTATTCGAGGTCTTGGCGATAAGGAGATAGTTTCACACTTTAAAATTGCTAGCAAACAAGCAACATACACATCATCAACTAGTGTTAATCAGTTTGTCAAAATAATAAGTGATAAATTAGACAATAAGGTTTGCACAAAAGTTATTTTGGCCCATGACTTTAATGTTCTTGCTGATGAGACGAGTGACGTGGCGGATAGGACTGTCTTTTCTGTTTTCATTAGATATGTTGATTCTGATTCTCATACTATTGAGGAAATATTTCTTGGTTTAGTCCAAGTTGTTGGAAGAAAGGATGCGCAAACTTAATGTGAACAAATACAACTAGTTTTAAAATCTAAATGAGCTTAACGATATAGCCAATGGTAAAAGTCCATTGTTTAACACTTATTCAAATAAACTTCTAAATATATCTAAAGAGCGTCAAGGAGTAACACCTCGATTAAAAAAAAATAATTTGTTTAACAGGATGTCAACACCAGAAAAAATTGATGAGTTTTTAAAGAAAATAAAAGTGCCATTTATGAGGAGATTAAAAGAAGAAATTGATGCAGCAGTGCAAATTAATGATGATGTATTTTTAGCGTTTGATACATTTAATGCAACTGGTGAAAATCAAGATCCCAACAAATTTTTAGCTAACCTTAGTAAACTTTCACAATTCTATGGCCATGCAAAACCTGCTGTCATCGACGGAGAAAATATTATTGCACCACCATTGTTTAATCCTATTCAAGATAATGAAGACGATATCCATCATTTTCTCTCTGATTATAGAGAAATCTTATGTAACCTTGAAATGAAAAGGAACCTAAAAATTCAAGTTTTAGTAAAAGAAGGCAAATTAAAGAGTAATAACATCGATATTTATAAGCACGAACACCCGATAACAAGTGATGCTATTTTTACTGTTTTCCGTACCGATTATGCGTGTGAGCAGTACTATGATATAAGTTATTCAAATTTTGAAGTTATTCAAATTGTCACTACTCGTACCACCTAGCACAGCAAATGTCGAAAGAGGGTTTTCTATGCTAAACTTAATACATTCAAAACAAAGAAATCGGCTCAGTATAATAGCACTTGATCGCCTTATGCGAATTTCTTTGGTTGGACCAGGAAATTTAACAAATCAAACATATGAAGAGCTGACTCACATTTATCGAGACTCGGGTGAGAGACGAATTGACTTATGAAATGTCAATCCTTTCTAATATCCCTTAAGTAAAGCTTGTTAGTTTATTTATAAGAAATATATTAATATATAAATCTATTGTTTACTAAATGTTGCAGTTATAAAGCTTTTCTCACGGGAGTAGCAGTAAGGAAATAAATTGAATCTTATTCTTTACATTAGTAAAATTATGCGAATAAAAGGTAAGCGGCGAATTGATGTTGACATTTTAGTGAATTTTAAGATTGCTAAAAAAAAAAAAGTCCTCTAAATACAGTCAGACCGGTATGCCCAAAAAATCTCTGGACTCATTGAGTACATTATTGTTCATAAATATAGGAAGATCTAGATGATTGCAATAACGATTAGCTGAAAAAAATTGAGTTAAAGTTTACCAGTCACTGAGACTTTCATGCTGTATCAGAAGTGAAATCCTTTTTAAGCTTAAATTCCCCCTCCAATCAAGCACAGAGTGTTACTTCTTATCAAGACAAGAATAAATGGTAGTATCATTAGGGAAAAATGTCACCTCAGATGTGAGAATTTCTGAGAGATCATTAAAAATCTAAAAAAATATAGATAAAACTTTGAGAAAGTTACAGGAAATGAAAAAGAGTGCTGTCCATCGATTGGTAAGGAAAGATTCAATAATCCTAAAGATGTTACCTGATACACCATATGAAGAGAGCTTATGAAGAAGACCAGCATGCCAAACTTTATCAAAGACTTTAGAAATAACGAGAACGATAGCCCTAACCTCTCCACATCTATCTAATGCACAATAAAACATAGGTTATTACTGTTAACAAATCAGCAGTAGAACAAGAAGATCAAAACTATTAGATTCAAGATGAGAGAATTAAGTGTTTGTTAATTAAAGATTCAAAAACCTTGCTTATGATAGGAATAAAACTAATGGGAGGGTAGTTAGACAAGTCAGATTGTTCTCCAGAGTTTTTGAAAATAGGGATAACAGATGCTGCTTTCTAGCAGGCTGGAAAACAAGACTCTGATAAGCACTTAAATAGTTTTGAATGTGTAGGTGACAGCTCCAGAGAACACTTCTGCAAGATTATAACAGGTATGTTGTCCAGACCAGGTGAATTCCTATGAATGTTAATGCCCAGGCGAAACATGTGACTATTGGAGTTTTAACGAATTAAAAGAACATCATCACTTAAATCAACACTTAAATCACAAGATAAGGCAGCTGAACTCAAAATAGTCTCACAATTAACAAATATTTCTAGTGAACTTTGCAAGAGATAAGACTCAACTTTTTTTAACAACAAAAAAAGATGAGCTTTGTAACTTTGAAAATGTGATGTTTGTAGGTTTGAATATTAAATTGTTTAATATAAAAGTTAAAAGTTTAAGCTGTAAAAATATTGAATTAAAAAAAAGTATAAAATTTGGTCTGTAAATTGTTTTTACTTCAGAAGTTCTGTAGACATCTCTCATCCCTAATTATGCATAATTAATTTATTTTACTATGAAATAACATATAATCATAAAAACAAACAGTGAATTCTGTAGCAAAGTATATCTTCACTTTAAATTTACATTACAATAAATAATGAAGCGGTCAAATTTTTTTTAAAGAATTCTTTATTACTCTTAGTCTATAGTTAATCACGAAAGTGTTAACTTTTATCAAGAAGGTAGTGTTAATCTTTTTAAAATTGTTTACTTAATTATATATTTAATAATAATAATACAGTGAGTATGTATTCATTTGTTTTAGATTTTTGAAAATAAAATGGTGAACAGAATGGTTTTAAACTTGCGTGTTTTTTGTTCAAATAAAAAAAAGAAATGTAATTGGCTAGGAGAGCTGCGAGATCTTAAGGTATCGCTATTAGATTAGTAAAAAATTATTTTTATTAGTTGTATTAGCTCAAAAACTTGAATTTTATATGTGGTGATTTAATCACAGTGTTTACTTTATATGCTGTAGAGACACAAAGAACGTGATTGTGAATATGAAGAAATAAGTTGCATATATGAAGGATGCATGAAACGCTTTTTGCGTTGCTATATGGGGTTACATGAAGAAAGATGTGCTTATCGAGTTACTCCCTGTGATTACTGCGAAGAAAGAGTCCGTGTTCGGGACGCTAAAGTATAAATGTTAAATACCTAATATTTAAAAATAGGCCTTAATTAAATCACGTAAATTAATTTGTGAACATTGATTTTTTTTAGAACCATTTAAGAACTTGTGAGCGAGTTCCAATTGATTGCGTTGAGCATTGTGATGCTAAAATTGTTCGATGTGAGGTAAAAGCTTATTTTTTTTACAATCTGAATTAAAATTTATATATTATTTTGTCTAGATGGATAACTATTTAGTAATTCACTTTTACTATTTAAATAGAAAGATTATATATTATTTTTTCTTTAGATGGATAACCATTTAGCAAATGAATGTCCATTGCATACCATTCAATGCAGCTTCCACTCAATTGGTTGTGATTTTTTAGTAAGTGTAACCTCAGGTGGCTTTACATAAATTACAATGCATAACTTTTTGTTTAAAGAGGTCAATATTTTAAGCTTCGTAACTAAATTAAACATAGACAGCGCGATAAAATAAGATGCAAATTTATGTTAATATATGTAGAGGATATTAATATATTCACAGATCGTTTTTAACATATAATCCTAGATGTTCTTAAAATACACTTTGATTTTAATATCAGCATTGATTTTATTGTTATCTGCAAGTACCTTGATTAAATTATCTAATATTCAAGTTTTATAGCACATACCTAGATGTTATTAAAATGTACTTTATTGTTATAACATACATCTCAACATCAAACACTAAAATTAACATAGACCTGTTATTTAAACTTTTGAAAATGATATTAATCTATAACATCGGATTTACTTATACTAAAATCATTTTCCAAAATAGAGAAATATGTTTTACTCTCTTTGAAATACTTTTCCGTATATATAAAACTACAGAGAATGATACATCATTGTTTAATTAATGTCTGGCAAAGAAAGTGTGAAGCAATGTGAAAATATCTGCTTACAATGTTCTTTACTAAGTAGGAATGTGAAATGATATGCTATAAAAAATGTTGTGTAAGTTATAAACCTTAAAAATGTTTTTATAAACCTTAAAAATGTTTTTATAAACCTTAGAAAAGTTTCTGTAAACTTTAAAAAAGTCTTTATTAGCTTTAAGAAAGTTTTTATAAGTCTTAAAAAAGTTTTAGATAATTGTCAGCATATTTTAATTCAATCCAGAAACATATTTGCTCTTAATCAAACTGAGGTATTTTAAGATGATCCCAAAAATATAGTGAAAATATAATTCCAAGATCAAGCTATGCAAAACTTCTCTCCACAAGTAAAGTTTAATTTTTCTCTTTTAAACTGCAGAAAAAATGTATATGCTGGGTTAAATTTGTCAATGTTTGTAGTTAGTAGATTTAAAACTCTAAAAAGAGACAAATAATGTAGAAGTAGTAAAAAAAAGTTCAACTTGCATTTCCACGTATTAATTGTTAATGCTCATCACCTAGGCATGGAATTACCAGCAGAGTTGTTAACAAGACCAAAAGTTTCAAGGCCACATGTTACAAGACCAAGAAGATGAGTTTCAAGGCCAAGGCCTACGCAAACATTTTCAAGACCGAAGACCTAAATTTTTGGCTAACGTTAAGGCCAATTATTAACAAAACTGTAGGTAGCAAGTGCTGTTACAATAAAACCACATTTTTTGAAATAAGATCAAGGTTATGGGCAAAATTCAACGAAGTCAATAAGAAAATATATTTGAAATGTATATGAAAACCGTAAACAAAAATACATAAAATTAAAACTTTTATTTCTTTAATTTTATGTAATGTTTTTTTGAAGGCCAAGTCCAAAACAATCAAGGCCAGGGTTAAAACTTTTCAAGGCCAAGGCCTTAATTTTGACCAAGGACTAACAACTCTGATTACCAATAAGTTGAAAAAAATGTTTCTCAAAAAAATTGTGTATGTTTTTTTTTTTTTTTTAATTTGGTTTTTATACTAACATGACTTTCGCAAATTTTTAAAATACTTAGATATGTCTGAGAAAGTTACTGTTTTAATATTTTGAAATATTAAAACAAAAAAATTCTAAAACAACTAAAATGTTCTGAATAAGAATATTTATTAAATGATCACATAGCCCTTCGGTCATTCCACAAACCAAGAGCAACTCCATGGTTGTATGCTTATATATAAGCATTTTTCAAATGCTCTAATGTTTTTAGAAATTAATCTTTGAGATGATCACAATATTTTCTCAATTTATTGCGGATACTTTGCATGAGCTTTTGGACGACAGTTTTTGTAAAAGTTTTGCGATGTTACGCCCCAAATTTGGCGGAAATAAAAATAAAATGAATAAAGAACGCAGATACTCTAAGAAGACTGACAGTTTCCTTTGAATTTAATATTTTTTTGCCGGCTAATTAATTAAGAACAATTAATTCTCTTCATAAGTTTATAGCGATTCTTAAGTACTCGTGCTAAAAGAATTTAACAGTCTTTGACATCTGAGAAACGTAAAAAACGTAAATAAACTATCGAGACAAAATCACTGTTGATTGTAAACTATCGAGACAAAATCACTGTTGATTGTAAACGAAGAAAAACTTCTAGTTTTGAAAAAACAAAATCTTTATTATAAAAACAAGGAAATAATTTCGGGTTTTTTCTGAAAGTTTGTTGGATATACTAAATTGGATTAAAAAAAATTAACTACATTAATTCTTATAAAACTTTTAATTTGTAAATTTATTTGATATAGATTATTGATAAAAGTTTTTTCAACTTTTTGCACAATGTTCTAAAGGTATAAAATCTTTATTTTGGAAATAAAGAATTTCAGTAAAAATACTAAAATGCGCTATATACTTTTTAAAATTTGTGAAAGTCGTGTCCATATAAAACCCAAAAAGCCGGTACAAATATATATTATGCTTGTTTGTTTTATTTCTTTAAGGGTGAACGCAAGTTGATGAAAAATCATATGGAAGAAAACGTATGTAAACACCTAGAACTGTCTCTTCAATCAGGTGAGCAAATGAGACGGACCCTTCGAACTCAAGCATCAATAATTTCTGATTTAAAGGAAAACATGCGTTTGATCCAGAGAGACATGTCTTCTTATAGAAAACGTATACGTAGCCTCGAGGTCGGTGCCTTTCCACGTAGAAGATCTGTAAGCCAATCTTCAGATGCATCATTGGATCAATCATAATTTTATTTGAATTTTAGTTTACTGACTATAAGACAAGAAACTAAAAGACAATTTTACAATTTGAAGTTTTAGTTTTTGATTGTAAAAGCAAAATTTTTATGAAGGTGCCACACCAACAAATTATAATTACATTCTTTCAATATTAGTAAGTGTAAAGGAGATGCAGTAAGTATATACATTTTGTTTGTATTATTTATGTATTTATTTCCAAATAAAATATCTGCCTTAGTATCAGAACCACTACAATTTGTTATAATTTATATGCGGACAAACCTTTCGCTTATGCCAATAATCGAAACTGCAAGTAACTTTTTTTTTGTAACTTGATGATGTAATGCTATAAGACCAGATTCTCACGTGTGATATTCTTACATATTTTTCAAAATAGTAATATATTTTTTTAACTATTTTAACATATTTTTCAAAACGGTAATTTTTTTTTCAATTATTTCAGCATTTTTCAAAACGGTAATTTATTTTTCAATTATTTCAACATTTTTCAAAACGGTAATTTATTTTTTAATTATTTCAACATTTTTCAAAACGGTAATTTATTTTTTAATTATTTCAACATTTTTCAAAACGGTAATTTATTTTTCAAAACGGTAATTTAACCGACGTCAAACTTATAGTTATAGTTTTATATTAAAATCTAAAATCGAAATTAAAGACATCGAAAAAATCCTCAACTGTTTAAAATGCATAGCATGAAATTTTTAATAAATAATAAATTATTTCATCGTCCTTTTCAAATAAATTAAAGATTATTTTTTATCCGGGCTCAATGATTTTGTACATTAAAAAAAAAATGTGTCAATACCATAGGCGTAGAACGTGCTGAGGCTTGGGCCCCATTCAGGAGTTTATTGCTGTGGGTTAGCCCCACCCGTTAAAATTTATCAAGTGTTAAACATTTTTTTTATAACATTTTGACTTCCAACAAGACTGCAAGCAACCACTATCAAAGTTGGAAGTTAATGGATGAGAAAAGATGAAGTTTATACAGCAAGATAACAATTTACAGACGATTGCAAAGAACAATTGGCAAAAGATTGCAAATTAAATGAATCAGGAAAGCAAGATGAAGGAAGCAAATTCCAAATTCGAATTGATGTTCGAGAAAAAAAAAAAGACGAATAGCAATTTTTTGAGCACTTCATAACAGTCACAGTAAAAGGATAAAACTTTGAAGTGTCCATCGAGGGCAACTTTTATACTATGATTGGTAAGGAAGGATTCAATAATCTTAAAGATTTTGCCGATACACCGTAAGAAAAAAGCTTATGGAGAAGACCAGCATGCTAAGCTTTATCAAAGGCTTTAGAAATGTCAAAGGCGATAGCTTAACATTACGTAAACAAAAATAATAACTTAAAAAACGAAAAAAAAAATAAAACTATGAGCAGACGATTCTCTGGAATAAAAAAAATTGTTCTGAAAAGCAAGTGTGGCTCTTGCCTAAAACTGGAAACGAATCCTTCAAGACTTTGCGTTTTGTTAAGCGTGCCTCCATACGTATAAACACATTTTACTTGAGGAAATAAATTGCGTTTTTTTGTCTGTCGAAAAGACTTGTTACTTTTTATTATTAATTTTTAACTCCCATCAAACATTTTGAGCCTTATTTTTCAAAAGTAAAACTATATGCCTAAGGTCAATAATTTAATATTGTTTGCTAAAAGTTGTAATTTTTCTTAGGCGTCAAAAGGCAATAAGGACATGAATTAAAAAACATGTGATCTATTTTCGATTTTTGCTTTGTTTTTATTCCTTGTTGCCTAATGTTATATGACGTTACACCATTATGAATTCAGTAGCAAATTTGAAACTTGCTTTTTAAAAGAAATTACGTTTTATTATTACACGAAAGGTTTGGTAAAAGATTTATAATACTTTTAGATTTTAGTTTTCTGGTTGCAAAAATTAATAAACAATCTTTAAAATAGTATTAGGTTTTTCGCTATCATAGACCTTGTTAATAGACGCCATAATAGACAACGCATTAAACCATACAATACTGAAAAAAAAAAATGAATAGAAATAAAAAATCAAATTATAAAATAGTTTTATGGACAGATTTAAAAATTCTACTAATGTGGTGACTCTCAGGGTTCTTTCTGATTTCTCTTCTTCTCTTAACTTTACTAAAGTCTCATCTAAAATTAAAATGAATAAATTTGCAGATAACACAAAACCTTTCATTCTTCTAGTTCAATAAAAGATCTTTTATAGGGAAGAGTCGGGTAGCCCCGGACACTTTGGGAAAATATAGATTGTACACATGTGCTAGCATAAAACAAAGTGTCAAAAGACTTTTTTTAAAAGTTCAAAAATGGCATGTTTCAAATTTGGAGGGTAGCCCCGGACACATAGTTTAAACATGATTTTTCCTCCTTTTTACCAGTGTGACATAAATGTAATATATAATAATTTAGCATTGGACAGTTCTCGACACATTTTTAAAAAAATTGCCTTTAAAATTTGCCACCGATATATAAGGAATGAGAATGAAAATATCATCATTTAAAAATATAAACATAGGTTTTTTTATAATGGAAATAAACCCTTTAAAAACACTTTTCAAATCTAATGTTTTTTTATTGGAATTAAATGAGTTATTATTATAGGTTTGTGCATTATATTAAATGTATTATCATTTATATAAAGGAAGTTGTTTATTATTATTATGTAAACGAATTAAGTTGTCCGGAGTCACCCTCCAATCATGTGTCCGATACCACCCAATCATACCTCATTCACAAATACTAGTTTTATAACCAGTGAATTAAAGTTTTAAACGAACTTTTTTTTTTAATAACTATTGTAAATAAAAATGCATCTTTAACCATTAAAAAGTTATTAGTTTACATAACAATTCGGTATATTAATAAGTGAATCAAATATGATGATATGTCGCTCTTCTGGTGGTGGGAAACAATATCTTGCCCTCCCAGTCATTCGCTTCGGCATATTATGATAAATATTTTGCATATGTCATATTTTCACTCAAATAATGTTAATTTAGTATTAAAAGTCATATAGCTTTTTTATTTTAAGCTGTACATCAAGTGTCCGGAATTACCCGCCGTCCGGGGCTACCCGACTTTCCCCTAAGTATAATTTAAAGCTTCAGACTGTCACTCAACTAAGTTTTCTCTCAACCAAAACTAAGTACTTGTTACTTTTTATTATATTTTTTTGGGAGAGTGAAGGAGGTGGGGGGGGGAAGAATTAGGTTGAAGGACCTAAATCAAAGTTTAAAAAAATGAATAATATCATAGTGGTCGTGGCCGTAACGAATGACGAAGACGTGGGGGCGTATATATATATAATCTTCAATAGTAATTCCGTAATTTAGGTTTTATTTTTTTAGGCTTAACGTAATAGATTAAACTAGATTTGATTAAAATTTATTAGAACAATGATACATCTTCTAAAGGACACGCAGGTCCATAAAATACAAGGACTCTGACAACGTGCCCTACAATCACATAATACATATGCTATATAAATTAAAATATATATTACAATTATATATAAAAATATAGTTATAAAACAAAAACCAGTTGAGCGGAACAGTATTTTTCAAAGTTGATAGAGTTAATTTTAATTTTGATGCTTGGCGTTCACGATGTCAGACGGCAAGTTATTCCAAATATTAACAACCCTAAGTGAGAAAGAGTATTTACGGACATCGAGTTTACATTTTAGTTTGCGTAATTTGAAATTATGTCCTTGAGTGTAAATTTAGTCGTTAAATAAAAAGAAAATTGATTTATTTAGGCAAACTAAATTGTTCAGAATTTTGTAACATGTAATTATGTCTTTGCCTAAGGTAATTAAGATCTAGTAATTTTAAATCAAGAATTCTAAGTCTATTTGAATATGAAACGTTATTTAGGTTAGAAATTCTTTTGGTAAAACGTCTTTGTACTCTTTCCACTGTATTGTTCATTTCATTGCGATTTAACGACCAAACTGTAGAGCAATATTCTATAAAATCGGTCGGTCTTATATAAGTGGTGTAGGCTTTAACAATAACACGTGAATCACGACTTTTAAAACACTTAAGGATTATATATCTTCGAATGTTCGATGCGCGGACGATATTTGAAATATGATTACCGTAATTTAAGTAAGAATCCATTGTCAAACCAATGGTCACACCTTTTGGGTTTGTAGACCAAGTTAAATTTTGATCGCCTAATTGATAGTTGTAATTTATATCTTTACAAAATGAAGTAGGTCTCGACGAAAATAAAAGTTGTCTAACCGAGTGCTAGACACACAAAAAAGTTTTTATTTCAAAACTTCTTTTTTTCAAAGAAGTTTTGTTACACATCCTCATAAATTTGTAGAAGAATGTGACAAAAAAGTGAATTAGACAATATTTACTCGATTAATTTTATTATTGTCTTTAATTCTTTAAAAGAAAATTTTTTACATGATTTTTTCAAACATAACGTTTATAAGCATATATTGAAAAGTAGGCCAAAGGTGAGCAAACCCCTTGAAACCAATTTCTATATTAAAGTAATTTCTTTTAAATGTAATCTAGAGACCACCAGCACTCTAAAACTGGTACAACTTTTTCCCAACTATGATTTTTGAGCTCAGTGTAATAATTTTACCACGAAAATGGCAATACTTTACTTTTCAAATATTGGTCAAATGAAAAATTCATATAAAAAAGAAATATTAGACCAGTATGGCAACTTTGAAACATTTCAATTTTTTTATGGCATATATTATTCAAAAGACATCATATATTGAAATAAGAAGAAGAAATATGAAAATTTATTTTTTATGTTTGCATTTTTATCCAAGTGTTTTTCAATAAAACCCCTTAATATGGGCGACCTTTTTTTTTAACATTTTCCTTTACACTAGCAGAAAAACACTAGGCCACATATATGATCAACTTTAAAATACACTCTCATATTTAAATAAAAATTTAAAACCCAATTCTCTGAGCTCAGCTTAGCGCAGTAGGTGCTAGGCTTTTTTTTTTTTTAAATAATATCCAATTATATTTTTTGTCTTAAAAATCTGAAGAAGACGCATAAAGAATGGTTTTGGATTTTTAATCGTTTAAAACTTGATAAAACCTATTTTAAACAACACTTTTAATGTTTTTGTGGAAAGTTATGACGACTATGTGATTTTTGTTTAATTGATTTTTTAATTACTTATTATTTTTGTTATGTTTCAACAGTTTTTTAATTCACATTTTTTATATGTTT